TGGCCCCCATCACCTTCGACACCTTCACCATGGGCTTCAAGGGGCTGCGAGTCCTCACGTCGAACACAGGGGGCCGTAAAGAGATGATTGACATGCTTGACTTCGCTGCGCAGAAGAGAGTGGTGCCAATGGTTCAAACTCTGCCCATCGCTGAGATCAACGCTGGCGTCGCGATGTTGCGGAAAGGTTCGGCAAGGTATCGCATCGTTTTCAGCATGCCGCAGCATGCAAAACTCTGATGCTGGTCGCCTCTGTTGTACAGTTGAATTAAGTTCTTTTGAGTGCCAACTCCAATTGCAACTCCGGTACATGATTAGCTGCTTAGCTCAGTGGAAGAATTCCGTGATGACCGTAACACATGAAGTGCATGAGCATCATCTTCCGCAAGCGCAGGGACTGCCGAATACATTTTCCATCAAGTCCCGTCTTACCCTTCAATTTGGGCAGATATAGGTTTCGGAAGCAGCGATGGATATCGTCGCCGCACCTACCACTCCTACAGAGACTTGTCGGAATCCTGCAAACACCTGTGCCAACACACCGACATTGTCAGAAAGGACTGTGATCATGTGCTTGTTGCGGCCATGGCTGCCCTCGGGTGCCAATGCATGTTGAAGTTTCTTGCAACGTGCAGTTTTGGTTGTTTCTGTTGTTCTGGTGGCCTCGATTTCAAAGTCAAGTAGACCAGGCTGCAGGAGGATGGACCTGGATGTCATCAAGCATGTGTTGTACTTCTTACAAGCCCCAGCATTATCGACTTGGAACATTTTGCAGCGCACAGCACAACATCTTTTTGTTGATTAAACATCGCCTTTGCGGCAAGATGGCCATGAGGCCATGACGGGGGATGTTGAGTCTGCAGCCATAGCACTGCAAGTTTCGCGGTGACGGCTACATAAGCCAACGCTGTGTGCACTTCCGGCCTTTCCTAGCAGATCTGACATGACAGGTCTTCTTCACAGGGGCCCAGCGGCCAGGAGGTGTGGTTGGACAGTATACTAGGATACCAGTTTCCACAGCGGTGAATCCGATGGTAGTCTAGAGTGTCGGGAGATTCAATGCCCCGCTTCGGAGAAAAACATCGAACATTATATGGAGCGCACCCACGGAATTCTTGCATAACAATGAACACTAGCAAGCTTTACTACTGGTGCTGGTGCTGCTCCTGATCTAACAAGTACTGAGTAGAGTCATCGTACCATTATGCTCCGGGAGCAGCCACAGCTCCAAGCCCCCGGAGGTGGATCTGGCTTCCCGGCCGGTGCCCTGAATTCTTCAAAAAATCTCATGGGGCTTTGGAGGCTTGCGCATCGCGTGTTCCAGCTTTTGCAGTGCACAGGCCAAGCTATCGATTGCGTTCTGCAAAGTTGGTAGACTGGTAGAGTGTAGACAACTCCCATGACAGAAGCCACTCGTCTGGATTAGTCCGCACCTGTAGTCGGTTGCCTCACGCAACTGAGGCTTTACCGGCAAGGTGGCGCGGAGGGTGCTGCTGGCCTGCCCCGCTTAGTGTGGTCCCAAGTTGGCGAGCGTGTCCTTCATGTGGGAAAGTTTGCTGAGCCACAGGGTGTAACACGTCGGGCGTCCTTCATGCTAGGTGGCTTCGGGGTTGACACGAGCAGTTGCACTCCGCAGATGACAACAATCTGACCGCACAGATGACAACAACAACATGACCTCATGCTGAGACCTTGCAGCTGGCAGAGAGATCTCGCAAGCTTTTGCCTAGAGATCGTTTTGCCAGATCCAGACGGTCAGTTCAGGCAGTTGAGTTTCGGACCCCTCCGTGATTTTATTCCAGGAGAGAATTCGACAGCTTCTATGGCTGTATAAACGTAAATGCTGTTCTATTATTTTGCTTCGCTTTCACCGTCCTCACAGCCTCGTAACCGAAGTGCTGTGGGAAGATGTCGAATCATGTGCTTCAGAAGAGAGAAGCCCTTGAGAAGCTCACCTCACCCCTGCCTCAGTATCTGACATGTCGGAGTTCTTATCATGGTTTATCGGGCCTGAAGCTTTAGCTTCCATCAGTTGCTATGATTTTTCTCTTCGTTCCCAGGTCTCCACGAGTGGAAGACAGCCATTAATTGGCGGCAGCATTGATAGTCAAGGAGGCGTTCATCTGAACAGGGATTGTGCTTTTGACGCCAAAATTGTTGTGAAGTCGAACTGAGGGAGGAGTGTCCGGCTTTGCTCGCGCCAGAAATGGATAGGTTCAATGCAAAGATCTGTGGCCCCGGCTCGGCGACCACCACGAGCGCAGGGGAATCAGGTACTCGTGCCCCACACGCGCGGCTGGCCTGGCTTGATGCTGGTGCCAGAAAGGGACCCTGGAGAGAGCGCAGCTTTTGCAAGTTTGCCAGGAACTACCGACCCATCACGCTGCCGTCTTTGGAGGCCAGATGGCATTGCGAGATCTACAGTAATATGCAGACACGCTTTGGTTAAACATTTTGGCTTAACACGCCAGGCCGTGTCCTCCGCTCCGCAGCTGGGTGGGGCAAAGACTGCCAGCAAGCAACTGATTGGCCCAAGCCTTTGACCCCCTCACCCTCGCACTGCTGAGGCACAGAAGGCTTGAAGGCACCCCCCCTAAACTTCCTCAACAGGGGCCCAGCACATGGCACAGAAGCTCCTGAGCCGAGGCACGCGGAATGCCAGCGTCCCCATGTCCATAGCTCCGACCTCAGACGACGGTGTTTGGCATGGCATGGCTGGCATGCTGTGACGCGGATCCAGTTCCTGTCCACTGAGGTTGGTCCACAGAACATCCCTGGACATGCACTCAGATTAGAGGGGTCGCAAGGACTCCCCGTCAATGCTCACTCAGTCGCTTTCACGTGGCGCATGTTGCCCTAGTGTTTCTCGTGCAGCAGCTGGATGTCTCGGCGTAAGGGGCATTCGGAACTTATTCCTGCTTTCTGAGGTTCGGGCATGCGAACTGGACCTCAGGCCGCTGTGGAACCTTCCCATTCCTGCGTAAAGATCTCATGAAATTTTCTTTTCAGAGGTTGCAGCCTAATAAACCCTCATCTGGGCTTGCTTCGTAACTTCTTGAATGCATTTTTCAAATCAAAGAAGCCCACACGCCAAGAAATTCTCATCTGGGCTTCGTTGGTGAGTAAACCGAATTATAACAATTCCATTAATCGGCCGCCCAAGACATCCTCCTCTGAATACCCCTCATTCGTAATTACATCTAATGAAACTTATATTTTAACGATCGCACCGCGTGAAATCCTCTTCCGGTCTCCATTCGCAATTAAGTTCAACTGGAATTTTTAGATTCTAAAGCCACATCTTGAGAAATCCTCATCTGGGCTTCGTTTGTAATTGAACTTGATCAGCACTGTAGATTGAGAGGCCACCTATAAGACATCCCTTCGAAGTCTCAATCAGAATTCATGTAACTTGACTTCGAAATTACGGAAGCACCCTTTTCAAATCCCCCTCCGGGCCGCATTCGCAATTAGATAGTTATATATTCATTTGTTTCTTTACGCATATAGACATACATGTGCCTGTGCATGTGTGTGTATGCATATGTGTATGTATGTGTATGTACATGTATATATGTACTTATGTATCTATGTATGTATGTCTGTATGTATGTGTGCATTTTGTCAGGTTTGGAAACAAGTACATGCCCCAAACTTCTACATGTGATTCGCGCGGCGCCGCCAATTCTCACAGGGACATGGCTCACACGCATGCTAGTTTCAAGGAGCTTGAACTTAGAAGCCCCATGTCAGCTGACCAGTCCCAACCCACCGGAGGGCAACTTTGCGTATGTCCAGGAGGTTCTTGCCCCTTTCTCAGGCCCAATGTCGAAAACCCTAAACCCTGAACCCTGTTGTCAGGCCTTTTTTTGGGGGGGGGATGAGTGAGGGGACGGACGCGCCTGTTGCCGATCCTGCAGAGCCCTTGAGCCAGGTGGAATCCCAGCAACTCATGGAGATCACCCAGGAGGCGCCCCCCCGAATCTCTTGGAGTTTTTGCAGCGGTTGCATGAGATTACGTCACAAAAGTGTGTGGTTGCATGATGTTGTGATCCAGGGCCCCGTGGCATCTGAAGAGGTTCTGTGCTGCTGGCTGAGTTGTGCTTCTGCAGTATCAGCTCTGATCAGAAAAAGGGCCTGAGAGGAGCTCATGCCGCTGCGCGTGCACGACTCGAACCAGTCAGCATTTTATGTTTCGCAAGGAGAACAAGCTCCGATCTGAAAGCTCTCAGCAGTTCGCGCGCTGCGTGGCAGGAAAGTGGACCCCTCCGATCCTTCCTGGATCAGCCCAGCTGACTTCGTTGAGCTGCACCCTTAGAACCGCGAGTATGTGTGCGCGGAGCATCTCGGAGCACAAGATGTGGTCGTGACAGCCTCCGATATACTTCCTTCATCAGATTGTGAATGACTGAGGCAAGTTACTGTAGCCAAGTAGTCCGCGAGCTGTCAAGCACGGGGAAGAGTGACCTGAAGTCCTTCGCAGCCTGTGCTCTTGTTATCAGTGACCGAACCAGCCTTGTCCCCTCCCCGAAAATCCACCGGGGCCTCAGCTTGCCGGAATGTCGAGAATGCGCTGAACTGGGCTCCAATGGGCTGATCACTAGGTCCGGAGGCCATGCACAAGAGCATTAGCCCAGCTCCTTTTCACCACAACCGCTGGACCCACTAGGCTGGACGCTAAAGGGGAGGCTTCCATCCCTTCCGACCTCCTACCCATTGCTTGGGACTGGCACTCTAAGCCTACAACAATGGTGGAGCAAGCCCAGCCATTAGATTTTGCGGCCGGGGAGATATTGTGCACAGTCTTTCTTTTCTGCTACCTGCTACTGGCTTAGAAGGCATGTGTAGAAATTTGCCTGTACGCTTCTTTGATCCATGAGCTTTTGCAAGAGGGGCCAAGCACAGCTGTCCATGTCTCCGAGTCGATGTCGTTCCACGTCCCATTGCAAAGTGCCCAGGTTCATTCTCAACCACGAGAGTCTCACAGAGGAGTTCTGCTACATGAATCGCTCTGGCCCGTACGAGCCATGCACTGAAGAGCGAACAGCGTTCAGTTTGTTGCACCGTCACGGCTGGGTCGTCTGAGGTTTGAGATCGTACCGTTCTCCAAGATCAATCCTAACGACTACATGACCATCTCCATCCGTGGGGTGACCCACTACTCGAATGGAGAGCTCGACTACCAGGACCAACTGGGCTCAAGTGGCGAGAGCCCCTGTAAACGCAGAGGAAGTCGTTCTTCGATAGCCTCCCTCAGCTGTCCGCAAAACCTTGTTGGTGTTGTCCCCGCGAGGACCTTGCTGACTGGCAGCGGGACCAGGACATGTACAGGACCGTCTTGATCTGGCTCGTCACGTGTGTTCATGAGGCCGAAGGGTCTCTGTTGAAAACAGACGCAGAGCGTCAGGAAGATCATTGAGATCCCCTTCTTCAAGAAATATCAGCAGATCACTCAGCACCCGTGCTTCTGAAGCACTGAAATCAGGACCACTTCTGTCGTCTGTGCTGTCGCGTGCATAGAGAGTTCGTGTTTTGCGAGCCCATCCGCTGCAGCCCTTCTTACCCTTACAAATCTTTTCAAGCCGCAGCTCGTGACTGATGGCAAAGGCGGTGGAAGCTGTTTTCCGTGTGGAAGAGCGCCATGCGCCGCTGCCTTCAACTGTGGCATACCGTGCCCGTTTTCATGTGGTTCTCATACTTAGACAACTCGACGCCAAGCTTGGGCAACTTTTGTCACACAGCCTTCCAGGTAGGCTCTGAGCTTCTTTGTGCCAAGGCAACCAGCGTGTGCAGAAGTGCTCCAGGACCGAGCTGCATTGCCAGGGTGTGCTTGCCGATGGAAGCTCCTTTCTGCCCGTAGCATCACTACGAGGGTAGTTCACTTCACGGCTGAATCTTGGCTCCAAGCAGCTTTCCCAGGACGCTAAATGCCCACCTCTTCGCCTTGGACCCCACGTTGTGTGATTCGCTGCTCCGCTGCTCGCGGCCAAGGGGGTTTAAAATTTAGAGGTCTCCCCCTTAAACCCTAAACCCTAGACCCTAAACCCTAAACCCTAAACCCTAAACCCTAAACCCTATGAATGTTTGCGCTGGTTACGCGTCAGCTCGCCGGCTCCAGGCCGCAGAGAATGCGTCAAGATCAGCAGCTGGAATCTCCTGGAGGCGGTGTCTGATAGTGTGCCAAAAGCAAATGTGGAGCTCAAAGTGAAAGGTGAACCCAATGACGGTCTACCAAGTGGAGGAGTGAGTCTGGCTCTGCTGTGCACGACCACTTTTCCCAACTTCGCCATCTTGACAACTGTCACCACTGTAATCGGTTCAGGAGTTCGAAGAGCAGCAGAGGCAAAAGCGAAAGCAGATGGCTGCGGACCTCCAGGAGGCCCCCCACGGAAGGAGTTTGTTTTCAGCAGCTCAGGCATGAAGGTTGGTGAATTCGAATCCTTGAAGGTTTGGGAGAAGATCAAAGACGAACTTCATCAGCGGCTCGGCGTTGCTAGCTGCTACTTGTAAAAGTTGGCCGATCAGTTGAGGCTTCTGAAGTCTATTCACTTTAGTCATGTTTGTCCTTCACCTCCGCCTTCAGGTCTTGCAGCAACAGCCTTCAAGACTTCCTCAAAAAGAATGGCTTTGGCCAGCGTGGCTCCGGGGAGGAGGAGCGTGAGGCGGGAAGTACCGACAGCGTCTAGCCGCTGCTTCGCTGTTTCACTCACACTGCTGCTGCCCCCGGTTGCTTCATCGCAAGGAAGGAGACGAGGGAGACCAGGACTGGGGGTTTTGCAGCTTTGGAGAAGTGAAAACAGTATTCAAACGTGTTTCAGATGTGTCCAGAAGCCGCGGGTCAGTCAGCACGGCCTTAAAGGACGGTGGAGGCATGTCCTACACCGAGCGGGCCACAACCCGAACGCAGTGCAGAAAGCTGACGAAGTGCCCTCCCGATCATTGCAAGTCGCTGCAAAACGGTGTTGGACTCTCGTTTGCATTGTACAGGCTAGCGGCTAATGGCTCAATCATCTTGAGGTTCATTCGCATGGTGCAGTTCCTCTTCAATGATGCCGTGGTCTGGCCCCAAGAGCTCTGAATATGGTTTGTCCTGTACTTCCAGTTGTGGCTTTCACTTCTTTTGCTTGGGCGCACAGCGGCCTGGCGAGAAGAAACCGCGTTGAAGTCCTTCGCCAAGGCGATAGGGTTGATTCGACGTCATGTGCTGCCTTCCCGCTAAGTCGCAAATGGTGGTGCGTACCACAACAACGAAGTTTCAAGAGCTGCTGGATGCGGTGTTCTCAGCTGCTTCCAAGAGCGGGAAATTTCCAACCAGCCCAGTCTCAAAGTAACGTGCCAAAGCTGTAGGCCTTCGTGGAGGACGTGGATGCGCAGGAGGCCGCCGCTCGAAGCTTAAAGTCAGAGGGTTGCGGCCGGTTTGTCGGCATTTGAGCCAATGCTCCCAAGCTTGGTCTTCCGGCAACCCAACGACAGCCGAAGCCGAGGCGTTAGCCCTCACAGAAGGGGAAGGTGAAAAGCCTTCAGAGGCCTCTTTCAGAGCTTTTGGAAAGGGTTTAGGGTTTAGGGTTTAGGGTTTAGGGTTTAGGGTTTAGGGGTCCTGGAATGCTCTTCTTCCCCACAGGAGAAGAAGGAGGAGTCCAAGGGTGGAAGGCCAGATCTCCGAAGTGCTGGCACCTCTTGGTCAAGCGTGGAAGTATGAAACTCCTGGGTAGGACAAGGGGGGGACCCCTTAAAGGGGAGCCCTTCTGAACCCTCTTCCGGCTCTCTTAAAAACAGGGACCTGGTAGAAATGGCAATTTAGCAAAGAGAGAAGCTGCAGAGGAAGCCCAACTTCAATGTCGAGTGCCTCCTGGAGAGCGGAGCGCTGGTGTTCAAGCCATCGGGCAAGAGGGTCTGGGACGCCGTCGAGCTCCTTGGCTCAGAAAGCGCTCTGTATCGCCAAGAGACCAGCAAACCACGGTAGCGCGAAGTATCGTGTTACCAGAGTATCTTGTAATCGTATATGGTGTGATACTGGAATCATGCAATACGTGTTGCACAGCACTTAAACTACACTGACCGCTACCCAGGAATGCCCTTCGGGATGCTTTGCGGGCAGTGTCTGGCTGCCATGCCTTCCTGCAGGTGGGGCTATAGTATTATGTATTTATGTATTTATACATATAGTGTAAGAAGATAATCCAAGAAAAACCAAGTAAGACAATAGAATACAATATAATACGATACAATACAATAGGATACAGTATAATACATACAATATCATACAGTATAATACAATATAATACAATATAAGACAAGACAGTACAATACAACACAAGATAATACAAGATCATACCATATAATGCAACATAATTCAATATAATACAATATAATACAATATAATGCAACAAAATACAATATAATGCAATATCATACAGTATAATTGTAAACGCTTGCGCGCGCCGCCTCGGCAGCCGGGCCGGTCCAGGACAGGAAAGGAGGAAAGAGGGTTTCGCAAAGGGGGGGTGGGGGGGGGGGAGGGGGGGGGGGGGGGGGGGGGGGGGGGGGGGTGGGGGGGGGGTTGGGGGTGGGGGGGGGTGGGGGGGGGGGGTGGGGGGGTGGGGGGGGGGGGGGGGGGGGGGGGGTGGGGGGTTGGGGGGGGGGGGGGTGGGGGGGGGGGGGTGGGCGGGACCCTCCACAGCACAGCTCCTCCAAGGGATTGGGGGGGGTCCCACAGGGCGGGGGGCCGAGGCGAATACAATATCATACAATATAATACAATACTACAATATACTACAATATATTGTGTTTATCTTTGTTTTGACTATGACTATTATGGTACTGTATGGTGTTGCATTATGGCGCATTGTACTATACTGTTTTTTCTTCTTTGTATTCCCATAACCATTTCGTAAATTCACAGTATATATGCGCAATCCTGCAGAGAACACTCAGAGCACGGCAGGCGACAAGGCTGCGAATTTCTTGTTAGCAGGGTGTTTGTTCTGCATGCTGGTTTACAAGGCTCAGAATGGCTCAGAAGCCGGGAAAGGCGATTTTTTCTGGCAGCTTTCCAAAGTTGCATGTGAGTGAGTACCAGTGTACATCTTCCTAAACTTTCTCCACATTCACTGTCGGTAGCATGTGGTTCCTCGGGAGTGCGCCATTCTCCGTGGCACTCTCGCCCTCGTGGCTGTGCTCAGCAAGAAGTCGTCCATGGACATACCCTGTGCGGACTCGAGGGGAACGCGTGCTTCGGAAGGCTAGTGACCAGTCCGAGAAAGATCGGATTCTCATTCTTGGTGGCGGGATCATCGGGGTCTCCGTGGCCTACCATTTGGCATTGCGTGGACGCCGTGTGACGGTCGTGGATCATGCAGGTATCGCCAGCTGCGCTAGTGGCAAGGCGGGCGGCTTTCTGGCCAGGGATTGGAATGACGGGACACCTCTACGGGACCTTACGCGGAAGAGCTTTGACATGCATGCTGAAGTGGCCAAGGACAGTGTTGATAGTCACGTCCTTACAAGATTCTTCGTGCGTCGCTTCCTGAAATCCCGAACAGCTTGATGTGCAAGACCTGAACCACCAAACCGACTTGGAGGATCGGGGGACTTAGTAAGTACGTCATTAAGTATGAGTAGCAGAGCGCCAATTAGGACCCTTTTACATTCTGTATATCTTGGTGCTTTAAGAACTATTTACTGAGTCCCCGGATCCTGCAAGCAGAAGACTCAACGTCATGGGAAGCCAAAACAGTTCGTGATACCGTTGCTGCACATTGCTGCAGATTGCTGCATGTGCCCTGTGCCTGTCAGGACCTCGGATTGAAATCCTACAGACGGCTCCGTTGCAAGGCAGTGACCGTGGACGGCGACTTCTCCAAACCTGCCTCCCGTAAGTTGGCCTCTCTGGAGTGGGTTGACACCGCCCAAGGTGAGCGGTCCATGGGAGATGAGACCACGATTGCGCAGGTGCACCCGAAAGACTTGACGGATGCTATGTGGAAAGCTTGCCAGAAGAAGGTTGGGTCCGAGTTCATGCTGGGCACAATCAACGAGGTCTTGACAGACGACTGCGAGCAGGGCAAGCGAGTCAAGGGTGCCATGGTGAACGGAGAAGACGTGTTGGCGGACACCGTTGTTTGCTGTATGGGTCCCTGGGCCCAAGTGCTCCGCCTGATGCATCCACAGTTTCAGGTTTATGGCGTCAAGTATCACAGCGTTTTGCTGCAGAGTGAGCGAGTCCTCTCAGAGGCCGTGTTCTTCAATGGCATGGGAAATCCGGAGGTCTATCCCCGTGGCAACGGGGAGAATTACATCACGGGCTTCCCCGACCCACCGACAGTGGTTGCTGAAACTCCAGGAAACGTCATGGTGCGCGAGAATGTCTGCCAACGGCTGATCTCAACTGTACGGCAAGTCTCAGGAGACATGAAATCTGCCGAAGTCACAGGCAAGCAGTCGTGCTATCTCCCTTTCACTGCAGACAGTCTTCCTGCCATGGGACGGCTGCCTTCGATTCAGGGGGGATATGTGTGTGTAGGACATGGATGTTGGGGAATCCTTAACAGCCTAGCAAGTGGCCTGGGAATGTCCGAGCTGATCGTGGATGGAAGTGCCACCTCGGTGGACATTGAACCCTTCCGTCCCGATCGCTTGTTGGCAGACTACGAGCCGGAGTGGGCTCCCAGCACCTGAAAGGGGTGGCTTGGACTCATGTGTGTGTCGAGCAAGTCCGAAAGAGAAGGCTGATGGATGGTGCATGGCTTTGGCTTGCAAAAAGGCAGGGTTTTTATTCCTAACCCCGGAGTTGGCCACCAGATAGAAGCTGGGAATAGGAGGGCCTAGACCTTAAAACCCCCCAACACCCTTAAACCAAGCCTGGCTCTTTCCCTGAAGACCGCCTGTGGAGCTCCTGAGGTTTTTGGGGCCCAGGTATGGTCGGTCCGAAGATTCGCTTATGGACAAGCTCATGTGATGCAGCACTCAAGAGCCACAGGCTCAATGACCAGAAGAGCCGGCACAGGTGGAGGACTTCACGCCCTTCACTGCTCCCTTGGCGGAGCTGGGGGATGCGCTGCCTCTCGAGGCCTCGAGAGCTACGCATTCAAAAGCTAAGAGCCATCTCTTTCCTAGCGCGACTCTCGTACAGGAACAGCAGCAGGATCTCTTCAGCTTGGTCGCTCAAGACCCGAAGCACAAGGAGGGGCTGAGGGGGTAGAAAGGACTCTTCGAGCTCTCCTTTTGTAAGTCTGCACGAAGCCAGGAGCTCATGACCAACATCACCAACCGATACGACTGGCTCTTCGACAAGGCACCTCTCCTTCAGAGTTCGAGCGCCTCGTATCTCCTTCTGCTTCAGGTCTCGTTCCCGTTGCCTTTTGATGTTGTCAGGTTGTGACCTACGCAAGCCGCTTCGAGGAGCTCTTCGGCCGAATTTAGGGAACTGGTGGCTCTGGTGGCTCTGATGCCTCTCCTGGCTGCTCTTGGCTCGTGGCTTGTGCAGCTCAGGTTTGTGCAAATCTATGCGGAGAACTCCGAGCTGACGGACTGCAGTGCCCGATGCTTTGCTCGTCTGCTGTACAGTTGAACTTGGCTCTGTGTGATGCTCTCGCAACTTTGAAGGTCACCTTTGCTGATGCTTCGCTTGATGACTTCCGCCGACCACTGAGCTTTTGCGAAGTGGTGCTCACGAGCTCGTTCCTAAGAAGCGTCCTGTTCAGTCATGGCCGAGGAGATGCCCTGGCAAAGTACCAGAAGCAGAAGGAGGCAGGGCATCCTCTAGCATGACTAGCAGAAAAGAGAGAGCGGGAGAGCAGGGAGAGCAGGGAGAGCAGGGAGATCAGGGAGAAGGTTCCGAGAGATCATGGTTGTCTTGGGAAGGATATCCGCAGCATGGGCCGCACGAAGGCGCAAGGGCTGCAGTTGCTCACGGCGCAGAAGTCCCTCCCCCTGCCGTTGCCCTGCCTTTTTGGGGCGAGGACATTGGAATCTTCCGGCTTGATTGCCAAGAGATGCAGCGGATGCTCTTGTCCGATCCACAGAAAGTCTGCGGTGTCGGGCAGCGTAGGGCTGGCGTTGGAAGTACACACCACTCCTCAGGCCCTCGCCGACTGGCTGCTTCGACTTGCTGGCTCAGTGCCCTCGTTTTCTGGGAAGCAAACAGCTTGTCGCAACATCTCTGGGTATCTCCGGTTTCAGGGCTTCTGGCTTGGGCCTTGTCGCCACGTGGGGTGTAGCTTGTCCCTTCGCAGCGCAGCAGATCTTTGGGAAGCCTGGTGGTAAACAGGTACATCCCCGAGTTGGCCATGACGAGGAGGGCGGAGCTGAGTGCCGAGATACAGGCGCTACGTGCACCCGCGCTCGACACCAAATGGCAGACCGAGCAACGGACGGAGCTACTTCCGGATTTCTCTGCAGGCAGCCAACGACAGGCTGAAGGAGTATCCCAACAACGTGGACGAATACGTTGAGTCGGGCACATATGGTTCCTGCAAGGGTGGAATGACCCCACGTCTGTTTCGCAGAAAGATCTTGTGGCAGCCAGCCACGTTATGGATCGGCTTGAGTTATTGATCGGACCCTACAAAACGCCTTTAGGTGCGGCTAGGAAGTCCACTCCTGGGCACGGAAACGATAACATACTGCTTTTCGTTTAGGAGGAGCATAGTCATCGCCAAGGTTTAATGTCCACTTGGCGAAGATCGATGCGTCGCTGCCATCTCTGGAGAAGAGGTTTTTGGAGGTGACGTGCAGGTGTACAGACTCTGTCTGGCTTCCGGCTTGGTATATTTGCAGGTTCAAGAAATGGCGGAGATTATCCGAGAGCTGCGCTCTCAGTTTGTGGTTGCGCTGCACGCCTCCCATGAATTTCGCGGGAGGGTTGACCTTTTGGCGCGTACTTCAGCACCTATAGAGAGGCGCAGAGGAAGTTGGGTTAGCGAATATCACCTCCATTGTCCACCTTCACCTTTTCACCTTCTTACTTTTTTCTTCACTGTTTGAGATCCGAGGTTCGGCATTCGGATCGACAGTGAGACACGCAAGGTTGCGCAATACTTCTTGTGGGTTGAAAGCCAGTTGGACTTGTTGGAAAACTGGCTTGCCAAGCTTGTATGGAGTGCCCTTCAATCGTTTGGGCAAGTCGCAAGATTCTTCTGTCCCCGTGCGCTTAGCGGGTACAAGGCTCAAAACAGACAACAGGCACATAGGGCCAACGCTCCGGAATGGCAGGCTTTCAACGACCTCGCCTCTGCCAAGAACCAGCTCATGGCCCAGGTTCGACGTAGCGTCCGCTGGCAAAAAGGTTTCAAGCCAGACAGTTGCTGGCATCGAGCCGGAAAGTCGGGACCATCAGCACCTGGCAGGTGTCAAGTGGCAAGGAGCGGGCTGAGGTCGACGTGGCGCACTTCAGCAAGGCCCGTCTTCTGCTATCCTCCCTGTATCTGGCCGCATATTATCATAACATAGCTGTGATGGTACGGATAGCTGTGCTCAGCTGCGATGTGTGTACAGCTCAGCTCCGAGCAGAGCAACATCGGCCCATTTTTGCATCTCAGGCCCTGGAGGTGGAAATTCCGGAGCTTCGCAGGAGCGTGGGCGAGCAGCGCCCTGCTTAGACTATCTCGCCTTGCTCGCCGGATGTTCGGCTGCCTTTTTTGCGCTTTTTGCCTAGAGATGCCCCTATTGCCTACGAGAGCTTTTGGGCAACTTGCTGGTTCAAGGCAGTCCAGGTTGGATGCGCCGGATCTGTCGGATACCTCCAAGATGTCTGCTGAAAGCCGCAAGGCCAGCTTCTAGTCACTGAAGCCCATGCTGCCGTGCTGCCATGCTGGTCAAAGCCGCTGAAGCCTTGAGAGGAAGTGCTTGCCTTCTTAGACGAGCTGCAAGAACGTCGGGTGCTCGGCCTCCACGCAAAGAAGGCAAATTCAACGTGCTTTGCTCCTTCTTGCTGTTGTTTTGCATTGGTCGCCACTTATCCCCGAAACGCCTCCAACCTGGCTTGCATAATGCTAGACCAGCAGCTTGAGAACAGCTCAGCGCCTTGTTACCAATGCTCCTACATGATGTTAAGGGGCCACGTATTCATTTGATGTTGAAACATGCAGTCGCCAGCACAAGTCCGCTCACTGCCGGCTGCAGCCTGACTTGCTGCTTCATCTAAGATGTCAACCAGTCTGTTGAAGAAGCGGCGAAGTTCAACCGCTACCAAGACGTCCTCAAGCTTGAGTGCTACCCTCAGAGACCCCTTGGATTCTTGATTCCATCAGGGCTCACACCTCAACCCAGACAAGAGTTTTGGGCTTCTGCGTTCCGAGATGCCGTAGCTCCTGTAGTAGGCCGCGTTTAAGGATCGATGGCTTCTGAGGGATCCTTGGGTCCTTGAAGCTCCTACACCTTGTGATGTTCTAAAACCAGCAAGGCCAACTGCTTTCGAAGACGTGGAGGAGCTGAAGGCACGGAAAGAAAGCGGGGTAAGTGTGAAGGAGGTATGGCCAGAATCCTAAGCTTGTTTCTCATGGCCACGTGCATGGTCTGCTCAGTGGCATTGCTAGTCAGGTTTTTTGTTGGACAGTAGTGGGACTGCTCAGGATGCACTTATGGCATGTATGGCACATGAATTTGCCTTCGTAAGTCACTAAGTCACTGTTGTCGATTTGGCATCTGTCGGCATCTGTGTCCGTAGGCTTCTTTCCAGATTCGCAACAAGTCATGTGCTCAGCATCTAATCTTCACAGGGCAAGCTTGTGTCAGTGTGACTGGAATTCTTAAACATGCTGCAGCTGGATGGAATCCTGGCAAGTCAGGCTCTGGCGAGGGATTGATGCTTGGGAAGAGCTCAGATCTCAGTGGCCAGTGTTGCGGCCTAACCCAGCCGTAAAGAATTCGGAACAGGCCTCTTGTGGACTTGCTGCTTGCTGCTGAAATGTTCCCAGATCCAATGCAAGCCGTCGTTTGGGCATCTGTTTTCAGATTTGAGGCTCAGCTCCGAGTGGAACAACTGCTCTTTCGGGACTGTTGATGTGGACTCCATTACAAAGAAAGTCGCTGAGTACAACAAGGCAATGCCGCAATGCCCCCGGCATTTTGTCAAGCTCTTCCGAGGGCCTTACTCTGCCGTCGTGGCCAGGTGGCCGTCCAGTCCGTCAAGGCAATGCCCGACAACCAGGCCCTTTTGGCAGAAGAAAAGCATGTAAGGGGACTTGGAGGGGTCAATGAGGGCCCTGTTGCTTGCTGTCCTGTCTCTTTTCTGTTGTCAGGTTCCACAGATATGGGGCGAGTCGGTCACACAGCCTAGCGCTCAACACACCGGGTGACAGGCTTGTGCACAAACGTAGAGAAGCATCCTGGCAGTTTTAAACGGCACGTTTTAGTCGCCGGTGCACGCTGGGACTGCTGTACGGCGCCGCGGGCACAGCCGGGTACGAGCTGTGGGCACTAAGGTTCAAGAACACGCTTCCGGTGGTCGTAGCGCTGAGGAACAAGGCACTCAAGCACGGGCCTCGATTGCAGATTGTTCAGTCGCAACTTGCAAGTCCCTCACCTCCGAATGTAAGGCCTCGGCATTGGGAGATGATCACCTCCATGATTGGTTCACCCCTGAGATTAAGTCCAGTGGTGGCAGGGCCCACGTCCAGTTCTTGTGTTGCATTTGCTTCGCATTGGCTCGAGGCAGCCATGATTCCCCAAAGTAACCAGTTCTCAGCTCTGTCCCTTGTCTTGCTGAAACTGCGACCCCCCCCCCCCCCGCCGCTCCAAGGCCATTCCCTAAACAAGTTCAGCTGGTTGTGAAGCGGGCAGCGGGTCGCATCCTCCCCTGTGGAATGATGGTCCGTGTCCCGGCAAAGGTCAAGAGCTGGAACTCGAAGACGAGGAGCCAGCGCCAAAGGATTCTGCTCAGCTGGTCTGCATGTTGTTCGCAGCATGGCCCTTCGGATTGTGCTGCTTTCCCAGGTTCACGCTTGGTGGTCTTCTGGCCATGGGCACTTGACTCAGCTTGAAATTCTATGCTCCGCTCCAGCAACTGCTCGATGGCTAGACTAGTATTGCTCCAGGTGTGGACCAGCACATGGAGGCAATCCTGGATGTGTCCGGCAAGGCTCGCATCAGGTAGCGGAGATGGAAGGATCCCACTAATATGTTGCCTGGCTGCTTCGGTATCAACCTTACATGTGGAGCAGCTCGCGGACCTAGTAGGACTCGGGCCATTTAACTTCGGGTTTGTGTCATTGTGGTGTGATGGCGGCATAGGCCAACATGTCCGTCAACGACATCTGTCCAATGGTAGTTAGCTGGTCCATCGACGGTCCCTCATCATTATGGTCCTCTACCTTTGTCAAAGGCTCCTATGTGGGGTGTGTACGGGTTTAATAAGGTCTCCCCTAGCCCAGGCTTCCATAGAGTCAGGGACGTGCAGCAGCATGATAAACAACTTGGGCAGTCAATACTACGCAAAACAAGCTAAGGAGCAGCCTCAATACTGCCAATCATACACGAAATGTCATCAAGGGTCATGGCCTTGTATTACTTACCAACTGTTAAGTTTGGTGCTTATGCCCGTGCTTTCGTAGGTTGGGGTGCACCCAAGTTTAAGCTCGTGTCAGTTCCGTGTCGCGTAAGTTTCTCTTCTCTGGCAGAGTCGAGAAGTGGATCGAGACCTTAGACCTTCTTCTGACATGCTATTTGTCCTGTCGAGTCAGGGTGGTGATAGCCGAAATGGCCAAGGGCTTTGCGCTTCCGGTTACATAGCGTATTGGCGGGCATCTTGCATTGCAAAGCCCATGAACAAGGCATCGTCGGCCAACACGTAGATAACAAAGAGGGTTCTTTTCTCGGGTCCTCTTGACTAACTTGGGTAGGATGGCCTCGCCCTTTGTTGTCGAGGTGCTTAGTGGACTGTGAAGTTGGCAACCGCATCGGGTGACTCAATGATGTTATCAAAATCGTCGAACGTCGGTCTGTTTCTTGAAGGCTTCAGGTTGATGGCTCATTGATGATGGGTTGCAGAAAACGACAGACGTGTGCCCTACAAGTACACACTGTTTGGGGTCTACTGCCGTTTTTTTTTCTATGGGGTTCTAACCTCCTCATTTGCTCATACACGGCTGACGCATGCTCTGTCCATTATGAAAGGCGGAAGTCACGACTCACTTTGGGATTGAGGGTCGGCTTCTGCAGATTGTCCGGTAGGACTTTTCCAGTACTTGGATCTGTAGGCTTGCTTGATGCTTGTGACTGCTAGTGCCAGTGACTCATCAGCATACTCATGTAAATGCCGGATGCGCGAGTTTGATGACTTTTTCCTTGCTTGGCTCGGGCCATTGACTCTCGAGCACCGGAAAAGCTGCACGGATGCACGTGCCATGCTGGACAAGCGTCGGTGAGAGAGCCATGTGCTTGGACGTTGACTTGTGGTGACTTGCCTTTTTCGTCTTTTGATGCGCGTGTGATGGACTACATGGCGGTGCGTGTTTGGCCGTGCGTTATTCTGCATGCCTTGTGTCAAAAACTCGAGTTTTAAGCTACTTCCAGAAACTATACCTACTTTTGTAGAATGCGTGTTTTGGAGCTTTGACATTAGAATTTGAAAGGTCAGAGATTGAGCACATGCCAGGGATCATGGGTCATGACAAACCCGAACCCCAGACTTGAACCCACACATTCGCCCAAGCCGCTAAGGGCTGACCTTGAGGGCTTTGGGATTTGAGCATACAGTGCAGTGGGATCGGTCAGGAGCAGAGGGTTTGGGGTTCAGGATGTAGGGGTTCAGGCTTTAAGAGGAGCCCCACCCTACGCACGTTGAATCATCTGAGGATGCTCTGGGCATTTTACAGAAGGCTGTTTCAGATCCATTTTGAAAAGCACAAGCTCGTGCACCGAATACGTGAAAGACCGTAAGCCTTGCAAAAACGGACACGAAAAGCGACAGAAACCAAAAAAAACCCAATTCCCTTTCAACATCAGGAACTGAGACATTGCAAAAGTGTAACATGAAGTCGGAAAGCAAGCGCCCGCGCGTTAGAAAGTGGAGGAACTGTCGCAGCTACCGAGAAAACAGCACCCACAAGTTCAAGATCACGCATGCGGTCAAACTTGCGCCGCATTCCAGCTGAAGATGTGGCGCATGTGCTGGCAGCTTTGAGTATGCCAGGCCACGGCCGAGCAAGGCTTGGAGGAGATGCTTGACAAGGTGAAGAAGCCTGGGCCCCCAGCGCTCTTGAGCCAGCCTTCTTGAGCCAGCTGTTGCCAGCGAAGAAGCGGTGTATCGATGAGCATGAATTGCCCTGAACAGAATCGGCTAAGGACGTGGGATGATTTGGAGTTGGTCATCAATCCATACAAGGAAACACGCAGTAGTTTAAGATGGATTGGCCGCTAGCAGCAGTGGCAGCGGTCGCGGTTCGGCCATGTTTGGCATTTTCGTTTCGCATCCTTTGCCAGGACAGCAAGGACGTCTTCGTGCTCGGTTCTGTCGAAGATATCACTGTGGCCCTCGAAGACTCTTTGGTCACCATTTCCACGATCGCCACTTGCCTGCAAGCCTTGGGTGTGAGGTCGTCGGGTCATTGGCAAGAGCTTCGGACCTTTAAGCCTCCAGCGGTCCGTTTAAGGCTGGCAGCCGCTACGTTGGTCCCATTCGTGGTGAGGCCGAAGTTGATGATTTCTTTCAGCACACTTCAGACAATGCTCGCCCAGTACAGGCCAAGTCCAAGTTACCTCAACTGGTCTCAGGTGGAGCAGTGGCAAAAAGACCTCCTCCTGTTCCAGGATGGCCGGGGGACAGACTTAGGTCACACCAAGCACTGGTCCAAGTGTGCACTTTGAAGGAGACCCTGGATGAGTGGCTGAATGTGCAGCGAAACTGGATGTACCTGGAGCTTCTTGGTTCGATAGGGGATGTTGAGGGGGTCATTGGCGCTCTGAAGGAAGAGCTGAGACCAAAGAGAGCCCAGGTCTATCTTCAATGCTGGAGACATCAAGAAGCAGCTCCCAGCCGAGTCTGCCAAGTTTCAAGAGATTGAGCCTTTGGCAAATTCATGCGGAATTTGTGCCTGAATCAGCAGTAGAGAGTAGTGACGGAGTTGTTCTGCGTGTTCGGTACAGCGTGGTATTCGCATTGTCTTGCAAGCATGCTATTGAATATCAGCAAGTACCAACAATCTGCGGTCCTTCCAATTCCTCATATCGTCTTGTCCTTGCTCTGTCTTTGGTGAGTTGCGCATATGACGTGTTTTGACCTTGAGCAGGTGTAGCTTTTTGCCTGGACTGTTGAGTACCACTAGGCAGACTTTCGGCTTCGTAGGCCAGTCTTGGCATTCATCTCTTTGACGGTAACCAATTGTTCACTGGCCGCGCTAATTTGGCAGACCCCCGTCCTTTGCACTTGTTGCCAAAGGATGGCCAGTGGCGCGCGATCATGAAGGATACTTCTTGGGGCCTTGATGCGTTTAGACCGACTGGTTCTGGGTCGTTTTCGTGGTTCTTGGCCTGACCCCAGCACAGGAGTCGTACGAGTACGCCGTGGCGCTCAAGGCTGCCACAAAGCCCGGCCGACTGGACCTCTTCAAGGCCCCTCAGACCCAGGGCTTCCATGCTGGTCGAACCCGAAACCCCTCAACCCCTCAACCCCTCAACCCCTCAACCCCTACACCCCCTCAACCCCTCAACCCCTAAAACCCCCTAAACCCCTTAAAACCCCTTAAAACCCCTTAAAACCCCTTAAAACCCCCAAAAAACCCTAAGCCCCTCACCCCTTAAAGCCCCTTAGAATCCCTTAAACCCCTGATGGCTTTGGCTTCTCTGGCCAGAAAGCGAGCGAGACCTTGGACCAGATCCAGAAGCAGCTCGAGGCTGGGCCGAGGCTTCTCGCAAGGCTTCTCGCAAGCCTCCTCAATACCAGGGTTTTGGGATTTAGGGTTTAGGGTTTAGGGCTTAGGGTTTAGCGTTTAGGGTTTAGGTCCCCCATCCCGACTCCCAATAAGACCCTGCGAACGTGTGAAAGATGAGAGCAGTGAGGAAGGTGGAGATTCAGCACGGATCGGTTTCTTTGCCCCTTGTGGAGCCCGGCGTCTCGCTTCAGACAGAACACAGCTCTTGAAGGCAGAGCGAAACCCCAATCCTAAAGGACTACCTCCTGTCCAAGTGCGTTGCCTTCCCACGTTTCTTCTTCTTGTCAAATGTGGGGTCCTCAGACCCACGTCAAGCGCCATGCAATTTGCTTGCAGGTGCTGCTTGTATTCAACAGAATGATTCCAGTAAAAGGCACGAGACCGAACCAACCGCGAGAAGCTGCTGAGGATGAGCTGCTGGAGATCTTGTCGCAGGCAAAGCGTCCGCAGGCCTTCTGCATGCAAGGGCTGTGTGGCTGGCTGTGTGTCTCTTCAAGACTGGCCGCCTGTTTCTACCACCGGGTTTGTTGGATGTGCTACTTGCATGATGCAAAAACGCTATATACATGTTTATCGCCACACATTGCAGCTGTTTCACGTATACGTCGTTCGAACAAGTTGTGTGCATGTGTGCAAGGTGTGCAATGTATCTTTACACATCTCGCAGTGTCGTCAATGACTCTTAATTTCAACCGGTGCTTCCGCCTCGGTGGAGTGCGGCGCGCTTGCGTGAACAGGAGAGCGATGCCTACAGATACCCACAGATGCTCCGAGATGCTCAGAGAGTGCTCAGAGAGCCCTCCGCAACCCTTGGGTTTGTTATAAAGCCTCCGGGTGGGTTGGCAGCAGCACAGTGGGAAGAGAAGGGGTTTTGAGATGGAGGCGGGCGTTCTTTTGCACGGGCACGTGGTGCTCGAACATCTTGCCATTGGGAGTGCAGTGGTTCCCAGACAGTAGAGAAGACCGAGGAGTGACTTCTCGCGGAGCAAAGCAGCGGCAGCCTTCAAGCCTTCAAGTGATGTCGGTGTTTTGTCTGGCCTTTGTCCTTTGTCTCGCTTTGACCTTGTGCTTCCTTAACTTGCCAAAATCCCCCTGGCACCCCACAGTGGAGCAGTGGCCAGGCAGTGCAGCCACACCTGCGGAAGTGCTTCGACAACCTGGTGAAGCTTAGGCGCCCGGAGAAACCAACAAGTGCTCCGGTGAGCGGTGATGCAGTTTTTCCAGTCCATGCTGCCAATTTCTTGCATCTGACTAACTTGCTCCTCCCAAGGCACAGCTTGATTCGCTCGTGTGACGTGACATCTTGTGTGCAGGTTTGGGGATGGTTCCAACTCTACGGACATCCATGCCATGATCTCCGGGGAGGGTGAAGAGATCCCCTTCTTCAAGATGCTCAAGGCATCTTGGCGGGGCTGGGGCCGGGTAGAGATCATACGGTACTATGTGCAAATACAAAAATGGGCGGGTAAGGTTGGTTTTTCAAGTCAAGGCTGCCGATATTGCCAAATCCTTGTGCCAGGCCAGGAATGGTGTGGAAAAATGGCTCAGCGCAGAGGGTGGCGTCGAGGAGTACATGGTGAAGACCTGCCGGGCGGAGGTGAAGAAAGGCCAGGGGGTGGGCGTTTCTGGCATTGCTGCATGCGAGGTCCTTAGGTCCTTCAGAGCGCTGAACATCAGGTTGGGAGACCTATGCGCTCGAGTCGGATCGCAAGGAATGGGTTCGAAAGCAGTACTGCCAGGCCACAAGGGTGCCACAAGCGTGTCCCGCAATGCCATGCTCATGTCCATCTTGAAGCTTTGGAGAAGTTTCGCTGTCAGGTGATGATCACCGTGGGCTCCATCTACTGGACGCTGGAGACCGAAGAGGTGTTGAACGCCACGGAAGGCAACAAGGCCTCACCCAAAGCACAGGAAGAAAAGGGTCCCAAGGACACATCATGCTTCCTTCAGATCAGGTCATCCTCATGGGCAAGTGGTTCCAGAAGAACAAAGCACAGCTGGGAGGTCTGACGGCATCTTGGCTTCTCATGACATTTCAATGGTCGATCCTAGCGGCGTCTGGGTTGTCAAAAGGGCACCAGGGAGTGGCAATGCAACTATGGGCTTGCCATTGACGGCTAGAAGGTGTACACTGCAAGACAGTTGGAGTCAGAGACCTCTGTGCAGCACCTGTTCGCAATGTCGCTTTTTCAAGGAACTGATTCGCGACAAGCTGCACAAGCTGCAGCGTGCCGGAGTGGTTGCGCTTGTGACGCAGGCCTGACGCCAAAATACGCCCGAAACCGAAGTACCTGAATCACCTGAACATAATCCGCCGTCCCCTGGAGTGCTGCCACGTGCTGTCCTGAGGACGTGCACAATCGTGACATCATCCAGGACGCGCAGCCAGTTCGTGGTGTCATGCTTGTTGGCAGCTGCCCAAACGTGCACGGAATGCTGCGAGATGCAGAGAGAAACGCGAGGGCTTGGCAGTTTGATGTCAGAAGTTGGTTTGCGCCCTCGCAGGACCTCTTCGACAACAAGATCACCAGCTTCCAGAACTTCAAGTGGCAGCAGCAGCTGAGGTGCCCTGTTTTCCACTGTTTTCCCGGTTTTCTTTGCCTTCTTTTGATCTTTCGCCATCGAATCGATGCCATGTCAGGGGGCTCACGCGCGCTGCAGGTACTACTGGGATCCAGAGTTGGATGGTGGCCACGGTGACTGCTGCATCCGCCAGGCAGAGATTCATGGCCCTATTCATCTCTTTACTGGCATAAACGTGAGACAGTTGCGCGCCTGCGATCCGAAGGTGGATGCTTTCATCATGTACGGCCATGAGTACATGGGCACCTCGGCTGTAGAAGTGATAAGACCGGTGCCCCTGAGCTGACGGGTGCGGTGCAGGTGCATTGTCGCGTCTGGTCATCACACCACTGACGGACCGATGCTGGATGACCATCACGGGTGTGGGAGCCCTATAGGTAGCCCAACACCCTGGAGGCCCTAGACCCAAGACACTAAAGCCGAAGCCAAGGCCCTTCACATCAAGTTGGGTGCAGCTCCGGCAGGGCCAGCTGGAACAGGCAAGACGGAGTCCACCAAGGACGGGGGGAGCGGGGAGTGAAGTGTCAAGACAGGCTGGGTGAGGGCTTGCTGCGCTGTCTCTGTGTCTCTGTGTGTGTGTGACTGAGCGGTTCCAGTCTGCACATTCTCTTTCATGTCCTTGGCTCGGGAGGATCTGGCCAAGGGGCTTGCTCGGCAGTGCGTCGTCTTCAATTGCTCAGACCAGACGGCAGCTCAGAGGCTTGCTAGGAGATCTAGACACACGAGAGGAGCATGCTGTGCTTCGGGTATGCATTTCCATCTGCTATCTGCTTTCAAAGTTGCGGGCAAGTCAGTGGCATGTGCCTTTCACTCTTCATCTTGTGGCGAGTTGCCGTAAGGATCAACTATCAGATGATGGGCAAGTTGTACAGCGGGGTGGTGAGGCAAAGAACTTTGGCAGTTGTCATGAAGCCTTCCCTGTCTCTGTCTGTCTCTGACCCCTGCAGTGCGGGCGCCTGGACTTGCCTGGACGAGTTCAACCGCATCTCCATCGAAGTGTTGTCGGTGGTTGCTCAGCAGGCTGGGCCAAATTTGGCCAAATTTGGGATGCAGGACTGGAGGGGAGCTGAGGCTGTAGAGAGAGCATTCAGATGCAGATAGCTGATTCTGGAGTATGTAGGCGTTTCTGAAATGAGTTTGGAGACTAGGCTCCTGGTTAGCGGCTTAGCTCACGAAGCCAAAGTGGTATTGTGCCGTGACCAGGTCCTTGAGATTCGGCAGGCGCTCTTGCAGGCTTCCTCTTTTAGAGCCTTCGGGTTGGTTGCGTGTTTGATTCATCTGATTTACACCTATCTGTGAAGCTGGAGGATCTTTCAGACTTCGTCTTCGAGTCCAGGCAGCTGAAGGTGCATGGCTGAGCATGACTGGGACTGAAAAGCATCGGAAGCACTGGAAGCACTAAGTCACTGAGTTGATATAGCGGGTTTGGGTATCTCAGGTGAAGAACACATGCGGCATCTTCATTACCATGCGGGGCGCTCTGTTTTTCAGATCCTTGTCTCCGGTTCCTCCCTCTTCGGCTTCATGAAAGGATCCCATAACCTTAACAGGAACCCGGGATACGCTGGACGAACTGAGCTGCCAGACAACCTGAAGGCACCGAGCTGTGCCAAGCCTGCCAAACAGGGCTCTTCCTGTGATCTTTGTGGCTTCACCAGCAACGAAATCGCAGGTGCTGTTCCGGCCCGTGGCGATGATGGTGCCAGACTACACCCTCATTGCTGAGATCATGCTCTATGCCGAAGGTGTCCCTGCCTAGACACCACCAACGCTTTTTTGAAGCTCGATACCGGCTGACTGGCGTGCGGTTGCTTTTGAGCAAGGCTGCAGCATTCCTCAGTTGCCAGGCTTCGGTGCGGCGAAGGTGTTGAGCGGCAAGTTCACCAATCTGTACAAGCTCTCCTCGGCACGCTGACCCAGTTCTTCAAGAGTTCAGCGCTATGCCCTTGAGTTTTGAAGGCCCCTTCTCGGTCCCTCAGGCACGAAGCACGAAACATGCATCGTGTGAACCGATACCGTTAGCCATAGCAAGGCGGTTCAAACATGGGGGCGTGCCGAACTGCTGTAGCGGCATAGTACCGTCAATGGATGTCACCTGTACAGCGTTGCTCTTGAAGCTTTTGTAGGCTCGTGAGGAACTTGGGTATGGCTTGGACTGAGGAGCAGCTGTCCAAGCAAGACCACTACGACTTTGGAATGCGAGCTGTGAAGCCGGTAGCTTGGAAGGGCTTGTCATGCCACGTGTCACATGCGGATGGGCTCAGCCTTAGCGACTTAAAGCAATTCAAGTCGAAAGTTGGAGCTGCGCAGCTTAAAGGTCTGTCCTTGTCATGGCTGGCAGCTTGAAGCGAGCAGACCCAGACGAGGCCCAGCATGCTGTAAATGGAGAAAGGCCTAGCAAGGTGCCCCTGCAGGTGCTCCCGAAACATTGCAACCTCGCCTTGCCAAGTCTGGCCCAGTGCTGTCAGGATGAGAACATCTTGCTTATCCGAGCCATGCGTGACTCTAACGCCCACGACCCAGAGCTCACCGCAGAGCCCTGTAGCTCATACGGAAAGCTGCTGTTGTGCACTGAGGTCCCGAAGTTCCTGTCGGACGACTTGCCTCTCTTCTTCGCAATCGTGAATGACCTCTTCCCTGGCATCGAGGTGCCGTACTACGACTACGGCCCTCAGCTCAGCTCCACACGTCGTTGATCTGCTGGCACGGAATGCGGCTGCATACCAGGTGCCCTGCAAGTGGAGATCGAACGGGGTCTGCAGAAACAGCACTTGCAGGCCACATGTGGCATCTGTGCTTGAGGGGTTGGCAGTGGTTCTTTTGTTTGCATGAGCAAGTGGTGGAGGTGCATGACAAGCTAGTGACCAAGACCATCCAGCTTTTCGAAACCTTCATGGCAAATCTCCCAGTGCGTGTACAGTACATCAGATGCGATTTGTGACGAGAGTCCGCGCAACTCTGCCAGCCTTGAGAAACTGTAACCGGACTCCACATACCAGTAGAGAGCGGTGCTGGCGCAGACAGTCTCTGAGGTCCGCTTCGGCGTGATGCTTGTTGGGCCCACTCTGGGTGGCAAGAGCGTCTGAGCCTCTGAGCACTAGGGGGACGCTTGGGGCCTTATCTGATGGAGCCCTGCATGAGACTATCTGTATTTCTTGGCTTGCGTCCAAGAAGCTCATGTCCCGTCCTCGTTGGATCGTTGTGGGGAGCCCTCTAAGGTGGACTACAAAACGCTGGCCATCGCTGCCGCCTCAGCATTCTTTGTCGCTTTCTTGGGCAGCTGGGGTCCCCACTTTGCTTTCAGCCACAGCACCGCGAATGACAGCGATGGTGGTCATGCAGCATGGGGGATCAGCTTTCAGCCAGGACCGCAAAGCAAGGGAAGCGCCCCAAGCTCCAAATCAACCGAAAGCCTAAAGGCCCAAAGGCCCATAGCCCTCAAGCCGATGCACAAAAAGCCCTGAACCACCTTTTCCAACTAGACGCCAGCTGCGGGAAGAGCCCCCACCGAGGCGCTGTCACAGCTTCGGGAAGACCAGAACCCGGACGAACGGTATCAGAAGACCAAGTACCTGTGCTTCAATCCCAAGGCCGGGGTTTGCAGTTGCGGGGGGTTTGGGCGAGCTGCCTTCCAGAAAAGGCCAGGAAAGGCAAAGGGGCGGCATTTGAGTCTCTGAGGGACACAGCAACTCCGGCTCATGTTGCCATCTTGCGCAGTAGAGCTTGCTGACTTGTGAGCGGGCCTGTTATCAGCCCTGCCGTGGCACCAGCCCATGAAGGTGCATGAAGGTGATGACCCTGAACGCCAAGCATGAAAGCTGGTTAAGCAATTAGCTTCGTCCTCTTGCGATAGTCGCCAGCATGTCAGGGTATTACCATGGGCGAGCTTTATGGCGAGAACAACGAGTTAACGCAGGACCCAGCAGATGTGCATTGAACGTGCGGCACTTGCGAGGCTGCGTTGTGCGACCACTTCTTGTTTTTCTTTTTTTTTGTGGGGCGGGGGGGGGGGGGGGTATGGGTTTGCAGAAAGACTCGCAGCGTCTTAAACCATTACTATCGTGTCATTTGGCAGGAGTGGACTGATGGCCTTGGAAGCAGGATCATGCGAGGATACCAGACCGAGGAGCTGTAGTGTTTGCCCAGAAGCGCCACGAGGTGGATCATGATTGTTGAGTTAAAAAGTCTACTGTGCTTATTTTTGTACGTTCCTATTTTGTTAAGGTTGAAGTTTATGCCTCTGCAAGTCCTTGCATCAAGGAGAGCCCCGACTACAAGTGGACGGTCTTCGATGGGCCGGTGGATGTGACTCGGCTTGTCAAGGGCAATCGTTCACATGCAATCTAAGACCAAGCAGGACTCGCCCTAAGCCTTAAAATCCTAAACCCTAAACCCTAAACCCTAAACCCTAAACCCTAAACCCTAAACCCTAAACCCTAAACCCTAACCCTAAACCCTAAACCCTAAACCCTAGTCTTTGCTGCTGCAAGAGTCAGCCTAGGCCATCTGGATCGAGAACATGAACACCGTCCTGGATGATAACATGACCCTTTGCATCTCCCTGAGAAACTTCTCCGTGTATTGGGGTTTCGTTAGCCCTGTACTAGGTTAGTGTAGCAGGGTGATGGATCGATCTGTTATCATCCGCCAGTCATGCTGGAAAAGGCATGCGCTGCCGGCTTTGGATAGTGAAGGGACAGCTGCCTTGTTGACCTGGATCTAGCCGACCGTGGACAGAAAGTGCGTGTTGACTCTGCGTTTCTGCTGAAGGCTTGGCCAATGGAGAGCGCATCAAGTTGAACTGGACGATGTGCGGGGCCTCAGGTCTATAGGGACTGCAGGGCTGCACGTGAAAGGCACCCGTGAGCTGGCCCCGCAACTCCAGTGGTTTTTCATTGACATACTCTGTGCCGCGCGCCATCTTCGGAGGTTTCACATGGTGTGGTTTTGATAGGTGAGAGAGAGAGAGAGAGTGTGTGTATGTATGTATGTATGTATGTATGTATGTATGTATGTATGTATGTATGTATGTATGTATGTATGTATGTATGTATGTATGTATGTATGTATGTATGTATGTATGTATGTATGTATGTATGTATGTATGTATGTATGTGGTGGCGTCAGGTATTGTTCTGTCGTTTCACCCTGCTGAAGTTCTTGCAACTCTGCACTTGCAGGTTGTTAAACGTTATTGTCTTTTCCTTACTGTCACAAGCGTTCATGCCTTTAGCGGCCATGCCCAAACCACCGACATTTTCAGCATTTTGCTTCTTTGTGCAAATACAGCGCAAGGATGTTGGAGGTTTGACGTTTCTGGAGCAAGTCTGTCCCACGCGTCCATGCCTCTGGCGAACATGCCCAAACCCCTGGTATTTGCAGCGGTATTCATCTTTTTTGTGCCTTCTACGGCGCAAGTGTGGTGGGCATAGCTCCGCTCCGTGGTCTGCAAATCGGTTCTGCCATCATAAGTAGTCTTGGCAACTACCCAGGCAAAATGTTCGAATCTGCTGTCAGATCAAAAAGCCTCCATCGCTCGAAGCCTTCCCATTTCGAAGCTTCAGGCTTCAAAGTTCGACCTTCCAAATCTTGCTATCATCCCTGGAAACGCTGGGTATCATCGCAACACTAAGAACTTCTGCTCTAACACGATGTGCTTCTTGCCCGAAGGCCGAAGGCCACATTCATTCCCCGCCGTACAGCCAGATGATGCCCTGCAAAAAGCCCCGTGAACATAAACACCTCAGGGAAATGCGGCACACGCAACCCAGATCCAGATCTACAAACATAGCATGAGCGCCTTGCAATTAAGGGGCCAGCCATGCTCAGGCGCATGCTCTTTGAAGTCGAGGACTTGCGCGTCGCCTCGCCGGCCACGGTCTCGCGCTGTGGTATGGCCTGGGACTCAGAATCTGCTTGGCATGTCAGGCACCAGATATATCCGGCAGAACGTCAGGGGTGCCATGCTGATGGCTAAACCTCTGTATGATAGATGCAGTAGAGAGCCGTTGCAGGCCAAAGCATGTGCGCTTCTGTGCGCTTCCCAGGTGTACCTCACACCATCGGATCTGGGTTGGGAGCCCTTTGTGCGCACGTGGCTGAGTGGCTTGCCGGACGAGCTGTATGGAGAGAAGGCGCTGCCAGCTTTAAGTTTGGAATGTCCAGGTGCCCTGTCTTGGCTCCTGCTTTTTCTGAGTTAAAGGTGTCCAGTGTTGCTCTTACTTGTCATAAAGCCGTCAAGCTGCAGGCGAAGGACATGATCTGGAGCTACTTTGATACACACGTTCAGCGAGGCGGCTGCTTGCTGCGAATGAACAAGAGAAGCTGTGCAGTGACCGCTCTACAACCAGTGCAGTTAGCCGCATATCCTCGAATGCTGGAAGGCCTCGACTTCCTCCGGAAGAACGGCTCAGAACCAGTCACCACACAGGCAGCCTGCTGCTTGATGACGTTTGAATGCCATCCTGAGCCCAGAGATTGGGGGCCACAGTAGCAGCTGCAGGACACCCAGCTGGTGATCTCTCTCTGCCGCCTCTTCCAGTCCGTGATGAATGAGGAGGCTACCCCGGCCTTTCTTGCTAAGCCTTCTGCTGGCGCCTTAAGATGCACCCGACAGATGGCCGCAGGCTGCGACTGCCAACAGCTGCGCGTCCAAAGATGCACAGGTAGCTGAGGCCAGCAAGGGAGGGAATGTACATGGTTATGCTCGTGTTATATTCTATTGTTGCAATATTCTACTATTTCATTGTTCTATTATTCCAGTCTTCCATGATTCTAGTATGCTTTTTTGATATCCAATTATTTGAATGTTCCAAATTCTTTTTTATTGTTCTATCATTCCATCACTCTACTATTCTGCTATCATGTCTTGCTCATTCTAATACCCTATATCTCAGCATAGTTGTTTCAGCCTTCGTCACGTTCGGGGTGCGGCCCCGGCGACGAAATCCACGAGGTTTGGCAGAGCCAGGTTGGCACGGTACCGGTTGAGAAGCTAGTGTATATGTGGGGGTTTACGAAAATAGGGGATCCCCAATCTAGCCCCCCAAATAGTAGGGGATCCCCCTTCTAATAAGGAACCCAAGAAAGTACCGTGAATTTCGGAAACCCCCATATATGTCAGTTGAAACGGGTGACTTCTTGGCAGGGGGAGCAAGTCCTTGCGCCGCGCAAGCTGACCAGCATGGAGGCCTGGTTTCTTGCATCTCCTGGGGCAGTCCTTCTGTGTCAGAGAAGGTCTGGGTGGCTTCTACTCATATTCTTTGGGCATGATCAAAGTTGGCTGACCGCTTCACACTGAAGGATCGTGGGTTTTTCTGACTTTGCAGCCAAGTGTAACAGAAAAGTGTCGCGCGAGCGCCTCCTTTGATTCCCTTCAGTAGTTCCTTGGGGTGCGCCGCAAGACCTGTTCAGTGCGTGGCTGCAGTGCTGCAAGTTGAGTCGTTCACGAGCGACGCCGTTCTTACAGACAAGTGCCCCGCCATTTACAGACTTCAGAAGACCCAGAAGCAGACGAAGCAACAAGGACTTGCCACCGAAGTCGAGCCAAGGTAATGGCTCTCTTCCCTAGCTTGAAACATCCAACGCTGACTTCAAGTCAGAGGGCTTGCGCTGCTTGCTGGCTTATGCCTTTTTGAATCATCCCGACTTCCGGAATTTTTTCGGCTGTTGTATTAAATTTCTAGCGTGCCTCTATTCCATTTGATTGCTCGTGGTTGCTGTCCTACGCGATGTCGCAAAGCAAGTGATGAACAGCAGTGCAGTGTCTTTGGTTGTGTATATGGCATGTCACTTTACTTCAAGAGAAACTCCCTGCCGTTAAAGGGGCTCTGGAGCCACCCTCTCAATTCTGTGGCAGTGGGATCGACATGATCCTGGGAGAATCTCAAAAAGCACCTTCAACCTCGGCACAGGCAGCCGAGTTCGAGAAGTTCCTGCAGCCGACCTTCTGCTTTGCTTTCACCTGGACTATTGGGGGGAGCTGCTGGGCCGAATACGATATGAGACTTGACAGCTCTTACGCGGCTGATGTGTCATTGACCTGCGTGTGAGGCTGCGATGCCAAGACACGAGGAATGTCGTCTGCTTAGCACCAGGGATGGTGTGAACGTTGTGGAGGGTGCCTGTCAGAGTGCAAAGGCGCAATGATGGGCGAGTGCATCCTTTCTCAGAGACTTCAACGCCAGGTTCGCCAGGGAGATCGAGAACTGGTTCCCGAACGTGTCCATGCCAAGGGGTGGAGGCTCGTGCGAAAACACCCAGTTCGGATGTCTGCTTCCCTTGCTATCATCCCTGGAGAAGCAAAGAGCCTCTTAAGCAGATCTACCCCCCAAAGGCGAGAAGCACCGTGCCTCTTAAGCGGACCTACCCCCACAAAGGCTAGCGGAAGCCCCGGCAGGTCCCTATGATGGTTTCATCAACTACCACGAAGGGCCGAAGTGGAAGAGTTGGACCGACATCGTGCCGAAGTTCATCTTCCAAGAGGGCGTGTCGTACTTCCAGCTCCTCGGCCTGCTGAGTTGATGTCACAGGGGAAAAGGAGCCTGGGGGGGGGGGGGGGTGGTTTAGGGTTTAGGGTTTAGGGTTTAGGGGGGCCCGGTCTGAGAGTTGGGTGTGCTGACTTGCAAGGCTCCTGGTTCCGAATCCGGACACTGTCCGCTTCTCCTATGTCATGGACCGCAGCTGAGCGCAGCCCCGATAATACGGTGATAACGCGTTCACGCTTCTCGTTTTGTAAATGATATACCTGTCCATCTCCAGGACAGAATGATGACAACACAGAATTCCGTGTTCCTCACGGGCAATTCTGGTGTGGGCAAGGCTGGGATGCATCACCCCATGCCGCAAGTCACCCCTAAACCCTAAACCCTAAACCCTAAACCCTAAACCCTAAACCCTTAACCCTTAAAGCCTAAACTCTTAAACCCTTAAACCCTAAACCCTTAAACCCTAAACCCCGAAGTAACAGCTGTTAGTTGCGGTGGAGCTCCCCTGGAGTGGCTTCCTGCAGTGGACTTCCTTGCTCCCCAGCCCCTGTTCAGAGCGTCAATGTTGCCGCCCTCTTGGAGAAGATGAAAGAGATTGCCTCTGTCATGCCCGCCAGCCAACTGCAGTTATTCAAGATTTCTTGTACCCTGTTTTAGTGGCGTGGCGCTGGGTTTTCGAGACCTCATGTAGGCTGCACGAAGCATTTCAAGCATTTTTACAGGTTGTGGCCGCCGTTTTCAAGGACTTTTGCCATTAGAGCGCCGGACAAAGGACTTCGATATGTTGCCTGTCTGTCCTGGTGAAGATTGTAGGTGATGCAGGTGCAGTTGGGTCAGGGCTTGATGCCCTTGCACTCTCCAGCGCGTCGCGCAGGCAAGAAAGAGCCAGGGGGAACGGGGTTAGAGTTCGGGGATGCTGCTTTAGGCTCTGACATGTCAGACCAAGGTGTACATGACCTTCAGCGCCCAGACCAAGGCATACGATGCCAGGCTGAAGTTGCCTAGGGTTTAGGGTTTAGGGTTCAGGGTACAGGGTTCAGGGTGGAGGGATTCGGACCTCTCTTCCAGGCCCTGCGGATCAGCCAGGCTACGTATTTGCCTAGTAGATGCAACCCTGCTGTATCCTGTAGCCCCCACCCATTCGAAACCCAAGACTTAGAACCTGTTGCATGCCAAGGAAACTCAGATCAACATCGAAAGCAAGCTGGAAAGAAAGCGAAAGACCTTGCTGGGTGCTCCGGTGAACAAGACGGCGGGGGGACCCAGATCGCATCTTTTCTGGCTACTTTAGTGCTGACTCTACGGCAAGTTCTCAAAGTGGGGGTTTGCAAGCATAGGGGACCCCTAAAAAAAACCCTGACATAGTAGGATTCCTTATAATAGGGACCCCAATAAGGTACCCCTAAGTTCGGAAGCCCCCAAGTGAGTTCGGACCCAGCCTGTCACTTTTTTGCCAGTAGGTGGTGATCCTCATCGATGACGTGAACATGCCGCTGGTAGAAGAGTATGGCGCGCAGCCACCCATCGAGCTGCTAAGGCCCTCTACTAGGTTCCGAGGAACTAGTAGTGGGGGTTAAGGGATTAGGGTTTAGGCTGTCGGGTTTTGGGTTTTAGAGTCGCAACCTTTCGTGTGGCGGTGTTGAGTCATCTTTGTATTTCAGAGGGTACGACTTGCAGCACTTCCCAACTTTCTAGCGCTTTTTGCATCGACAAGCCTGCAAGCAATAACCATGTAGAAAGTGGGAGGAGTAGTAGCGGGAGGAGTGGTCGTCGTAGTCGTTTTCGTAGTTCGTCGTCGTCGTCGTCGTCGTAGTAAGCTCCTCATCATCATCATCATCATCATCATCATCATCATCATCATCATCATCATCCTTCGTGCATCGATGCTCTGGCCACTTCGCCTGCTGAAAGCCACTTTTGGTAAAGTTGATCTAAGGCCTACTTTTGAGAGGGTAACGTGTGGGTGGTAGTGGCACTAGTAGTCGTGGTAGCAGTAGGAGTATAGTCGTCGTCGTAGTCGCCATCGTAGTATTCGTCGTCGCAGTGGTAATGCCTCTTCTTCTTCTTCTTCTTCTTCTGTAATCGGCATTTTGCCCCCCACTGCTTTGCTCTTTTCTTCCTTCAAGCCGACTCCTCTGACATCCCGAATCGCTGCACATACCATGGATTTCGCTGCTTTGTGACCCTTGCAAAAGCAAATGAGCCCATGCAAAAAACATGCACGATTCACAACCATGAATTCAGAACGCGCCGCTTTTTCGGCCAATGCCATCATGGCCTTGTGTTTGTGGGCTCAGATGATGAGGAGTAGTGGCAGTAGGGGTAGAAGTGGTGGTGGTAGTAGTAGTCGTCGTAGGAGGAGGGAGGCAGCAGCAGCAGCAGCAGCAGCAGCAGCAGCAGCAGCAGCAGCAGCAGCAGCAGCAGCAGCAGCAGCAGCAGCAGCAGCAGCAGCAGCAGCAGCAGCAGATGTGGATGTGGATGTGGATGTAGATGTAGATGTAGATGTAGATGTTGTAGGTTAGTAGATGTAGTAGACGTAGTAGACGTAGTAGATGTAGTAGACGTAGTACATGTAGCAGATTTAATAGATGTAGTATACGTAGTAGATGTGGTAGATGAAGTTGATGTAGTAGATGTAGAATGTAGAAGATGTAGTAGAGCTGGTAGATGTAGTAGATGTGCTGGGTTCGAAGATGTAGTAGATGTTAGATGTGCTGGATGTAGTAGTCATAATTAGTCGCAGTCGTACTTGCTGTAGACGTGGTAGTCGTCGCGTGATCGTGTAACTTCGGTTGTTGTTGTCGTCGACGTAGTCTTGATCTCTGACGTACTGTAACTGTACTGGTAGCAGGCTCAGCAATGAGAACACGAATGGTTCTTATGAACTCGTGGTCCCATGGCTCTTACATTGTGAGGCAGTTCCAAGACCAGAGGGGCTTCTTCGACAGGAAGAAGCATGAATGGAAGGCGCCGAACTTAGGAGCCGCACAGGTCCCTATGGAGCCATTCCGGTAAGCTTTGCACAGTTCGGCTGGGTGCCTTGCACCTATACTGTAAGCGACGCCCGTAAAGGGGAGCAAGGGTGATGGCGCGCGGACCGGCTGGCACGTCTTACTGTCCGCAGTGGGCAGGACATCGAGAACACCACCTTGCTCCTGTGCGCTGCCCCACCAGGCATCTCGGGCCGCTGAAGAGAGATGGCGTAGTATTGCGTGCGAGAGATCTGAGAGGAATCTGCTGGATAGCAGTTTCTCACGCCATGGCCGCTGTTCCAGACACATCCAGACACAGTGTCAAATCCGTGGGTAAGTGTCCTCAATAGTCAACTGCAGGCGGCGGTCGCAACTCGATGACCGCCAGATTCACGCGGCATTCCCAGGCCATGAGGGGCCATGAGTTGCAGCATATAGTGACTGTAGCACGATGACCGAAACTCTAAACAAAAGCTGTGTTGCAGGTGCTCTGCATGCCGCCTACCAGTGAAGAGGCAGGAAGGAGATGCCAGAGCAATGCCACGGCTGTGTCCTGTTTTCCCGGAATTTCTGAGCATTTCTGAGATCTGTATCGCTCCTCCTTTCGAATGTTCTCGGTAAGTTCTGCGACTGCTTGTGGCCACGGGTGGTGCTGCAGCGCCTTGACGTGCGGCTATGGTGGCACGAGATGTAAATACAACACCTGGCGGCATCCATGTAACACTCACCAGCTGAGTGTGCTTGGAGGTTCATGGCATTTATTGACCAACTATGACTGTACTTCTAACCCACAAAGTACAGTTATATTTGGTTGATAAGTACCCATGAAGCTCCAAGCGGAGGCCTAAACCCTAAACCCTAAACCCTGAACCCTAAACCCTAACCCTAAACCCTAAACCCTAAAGCCTAAACCTAAAGCCTAAACCCTAAACCCTAAACCCTAAACCCTAAACCCTAAACCCTAAACCCTAAACCCTAAACCCTAAACCCTAAACCCTAAACCCTAAACCCTAAACCCTAAACCCTAAACCCTAAACCCTAACACTAAACCCTAAACCCTAAACCCTAAACCCTAAACCCTAAACCCTAAACCCTAAACCCTAAACCCTAAACCCTAAACCCTAAACCCTAAACCCTAAACCCTAAACCCTAAACCCTAAACCCTAAACGAAAACCTTCAGCCCTAAACCCTAAACCGTGGAGGCCATGTCCACTATCTTTGGCTCCATCATCTCCGGCTTCCTGCAGCGCTTCAAGAGTTGGCAGCCTCAGCAAATTGGCCTCGGACCCTAGGACCCCAGAAACGATGATCACACATGAGGGTTCATCTACAGGAGTTCAAAGAAACGGCCCAGGAGCCGGATCAAACACACATGGCAGATATCTAGCCTCGTCGTGTCACTTTTTGTGTCAGACGGAAGGAGCCTCAGGACGCCCGTGTTTTGTGGTGGCCAAGCGCTTTGCCAAGGCGAGGTGCAGGGCCTGGCCAATGCTTCGGTCCAAAGCACCATCGAGATGTACAACAAGTTCGCTTCCAAGCTTTTTTCAGCTTCCCTTTTTTCAGTATGCCGGTGCTGTGCCCATGCCATGCGCATGCTAGCCCTCACATGTTTTGGGCCATCAACTCAGTAGATCAATTAGAGCAGTAGAACGCAGAGCTGGCTGCATACGCAGGTGCGGGGATGAGCTTCTGCCAACCCCGACACGACCTCACTACACCTTCAACCTTCGTGACGTGTCGAAGGCACGCGATGCTGGCCAGTGCCAAGAATGGTTCAATAGTTGTCATTAGCCCCGAAAAGGCTGCTGACTGAGCATTTGCGTATGCTTGAGCCTTGCCAGGTTTTCCAGGGGCTACTCATGGTGAAGCCGATGCATGTACATCACTCAGACAGCCCATAGGAATCCTTCTTGCATATCCAGGGAAATCAGAGGGCTGCGGAGCAAGTTGTCTGAATTCTTGGTCGCTTCGTGGCATTTTGACAGAGCAAGTGTTCCACGAAGTTCCGGCCAAAAGTTTCAGCCTCATGCTAAGGTTACCAATGCGGAAGCCTACACCAGGCGAGTTGCACAGGAAACTGGAACACGAAAAGAAGGAGAGCCTAGTGCTCTTTCAAGTCGACTGATATCATAAATGTGGGGTGAGGCATGGTCTTGTGCGCGCTGACAGATTTAGGCGTTTGCTGCTCTCCGGGAACGGTGGGAAGATCCGAACAAGATGCATGTTGAGTCCAGAGTGATGGCGGGAACGGCTGGTGTAGCTGAGTGCTAGGCTCTGGTACCACGAGCTCTCACGGGTCTTCTGTGACCGGCTTATTAACAAGGCGGACAAGGACTGGTAGACAGCTTACATGACACATCTGCGTCTATGTCTATGTACTGAGAGAGAGAGAGAGAGAGAGAGAGAGAGAGAGAGAGACTCTTTGAGCCACTTGAAAGGAGTGGTTCTACAAGGCGGCGGCCGAGCAGCTGAAGTCAAGGTCGGCGCGTGGCAAGAGTAGCAAAACCAAGAAGCCACCCACGTTTATAATAATAAAAACATGAATAATCATAATCATAACTGTTATTATGAATACTATTACTATTACTACTATTATTTGTAGTAGTATTAATATTATTAGTTTTGCGTTTACATGGAGCTGTGGACTGTCCTTGTGACTTTGGCAGTCCGGGACGCGGGCTGTGCGACTCCGTGTGTTGAAGGTTCAGAGTCCTGGACACAGATCCCGAGATCTGGAATTCCTTGATGCGGCTTGCTGGCACATGGACCCGCCGAATTGAGCGCTTCTCTTCTGAATCCGTGGCTGTCGAACTACGATCCTGCACCCTAGGCCCCACAGACTCAGCATTCAGGTAGAACCTTCTTGGAATACGGCGAATTCACTCCAAAATCACATATGGGGGCTTCGCTGCAGGTGGTGCAACTTCCTCCGTCCGGTGGAGTCCCGAGTCTATGAGGAAGCCAAGGACAAGACGAAGGCGCGCGTGACGCGTGAGCCTCGTGTGAGCCTTGAGAGTTCTCAGTCCGCAGAGTTGGTGACCTTTTGGCGTTGGCAGGTGCAGAAAGTCCTCGAAGATGCTAATGATGAGTACAACCTCTCACACACGGCACAGATGAACCTAGTTTTCTTCCAGGACCACAGCTCCTACCTAGGAGAGTGATGCAGCGCAGAGCAGGCATTCATGCCTTTCGGAGGCATTCTCCCTCTTTGAAAAGGGGGGCCGCCCAAACGTCTCAGAATCTTCCTGTCCGAGGACTGTGTGGAGCACATCAACCGCATTGCCAGGGTGTTGGCGCAGCCTCGAGGATGGCAGCCGGGGCAGTCAGGGCAGTCGAGGTTTCGTGCGGTTCGCGAGTTTTTTTCCCAGCATTCGTTCGGAGCGGAGCATGCGTTGCAATGCCACTTAGTTCAAAAGGCTGTGTTCAACGTTTCCTGCGGTTCCTGCATGTGACACGGTTGGTATGCGGCCAGCAGGAAATCTTCTCCTTGTTGGTGTTGGCGGAAGTGGACGTTCCAGCTGTGCCAAGATTTGTGCCATGGTGGCAGAAATCAAGTGACTTCCAAAACTGTAGAGCTTCAAGACTTCAAGCCCAATCTCTCGGGGCTGCTTGACACTGGTAGCCTTTGTGTAGCTGACTCTGCTATCGCCGATCCGAGGCGCTTGCATGTCTGAGTTGCGAACTCAGCTTCTCGCTGCTTCTTGTATGCCTGTGGCCCGCTCAGCATTTCTGTGGCATGTTCCTCGCTGCCACTCTCAACCAGCTTCAGGACGAACGAGTTCAACATCGCGCTCACAAAGGCGAGGTTACACGCATACCCGTCTAGCCATGGTCATGTGCCAGTCAAACCTATGGCCCCCCCATGTCTTACCAGAAGTTGAAGTGCGCATGTCTTCAGGGCTACGGCATCGACGCCTTCCGGGAAGATGAGAAGAAGTTCCTGATCTCGGCGGGAGCTGGAGCTGCGAAGGCTCGGAACCTACCGGCATTCAGGAGTCTAGTGAGTTGCAAGCAGCCTTGTGGTGTGGTGCAAGCTGGCCTGCCAGGCGACGATGTTCCTTCTGAGCGACACGCAGATCATCAACGAAACCTTCTTGGAGGACATCAACAACATCCTGAATGCCGGAGAGGCGTTCCGGGTCCTGTTCTGTACATACGCGACGTCTTGGATACCACAAGTCGCTTGTCGGAGATGCTGGGCGCAGCGTGTGGAAGAGAGGTGCCAAACCTCTTCCCCAACGACGAGGTGGACAGAGTTATCGGCGATACCCGGCCTGTGCCCGAGGGGAGTTAGCCCTTGAGTAGGAGTTCTAGGATGTTCTAGGAATTCCTATGTGGGGCGCACGTCGCATTCTCAGCCATGGCCTGAGCCATCGCCGAGAAGTTGCCTCAACTCTCAGGCCGCGGGCGAAGGAGATGGGCCGAAGCGAGGCGCCGGGGGGGCGGTTTCGGGTCGAAGAGAGAGGTTTTTTCTCACGGGCCAACTCTGTTTTGGGTGCTTTTCTTTGGGGGACGTGTGGGTTCTGCCGAGGCCAAAGATGCCGTGTGGCAGTTCTTTGTGGAGAGCGTGCGGGACAACTTGCACATCGCAGCTGGCCCCAGCAGATTACAACACACTGACCCACACTGACCCCCCGCCCCTATACAGTCGGCCCCCCCTCCCCCTCCCCTTTTTTCAATGCCTTCGGACGTGGGCGTGGATTGCTGAAGAACAGTCTTGCTGTGGAAGGTCCTGACCATGTCACCTGTTGGATCTGCTCTGAGGCCTGGTTCTCAGCTTGTGGTTGCTCCGCGTTTGCCTTTGCTCCTTCTTGTTTTTTTCCCTTCGGGGTACCACTGAACTCCATCAATTGGGATGTTCCCCCCCTTTTGCTACCGTCCTGACGAGAGATTCTCGTACCCCCTATTATCCCCATCAAGGACTGTTAGTATAAGGGGGAACATCCCAATCCATCCACCTGCAGGGTGAGAATGCGAATGTTCCCGGCGTTGGTGAATTGCTGCACCATCGACTGGTTCCTTCCTTGGCCAGACGAGGCCATGGGGTGAGGTTTCCCAAAACCATCCCCAAACCCAAAGCCCTATGCCCTAAAATAACTGACTGAATCAATCTGACTTACTTTTTTTAAACTAGCCAATTAACTAACTAACTGGCTAACTAAATAACTAACTACCCAACTAACCATCCATTTTCCTCGGCCACGCCCTTTCGAGGCCTTGCTGGGGGTCTCGGCCAGACAGCAGCTTGGCTGAAGTCAGACTCAGCTCGACTCAGCCGGACAGCTGCTTGCTAGCCGCAGTCCATGAGGCAACCAAGCGTAGCTTTGGGCCCGCGTGTAAACTTCACTTGTGTAGATGAGGATCGAGAGGGTCCTATCTCTGCGTGGAATAGCTACCGGCTTTCAAGATGATCAGCTCGCCAGGCTTTCGGGCATGCAGGGCATCAGTGATGACTTGAAGGACTCCGTCTCACAGGTGGGAGATGTGACATACCTTCTGCAGTTCGACATCTCTCGTTCATCAGCGTCGCTGCTTGTTCGAAGCAACCTAGTTGAAGCAGTTCAGGCATGAGCTTTTTTGTATCGAGGGGAGCAGAATCTAGACGAAACTCTCAAGGCTAGGGCCCGACAATGCCATGATTGCGATGCAGGCCTGTTGCTTTGTGCACCAAGAAGTCATCCGAACCTCCGCCGTTTTCGAAGAGCGCCTCAGGCAGGGAACTTGGGGTTCTGTGCCCTGAGAATATTCAGCCTGAGTTTCGGAAGGGGAGGTGTCGAAGTCGGCAGGCGCAAGGTGTACGTCACGCCCAAGTCGTACTTGGACCTGATCAGTGTGGCCAGCGGGTTTGAGCTGGCCGCATGTTCAGGCATGCTGCAGGTTGGCTGGCTTCTGCGCCTGAGCAGTACCCCACATGCTATGGCCGACAGTGAGTAGATAGGCCTGACCAAGCCTGTCGCAGAAGATGTTTATTGTCATGGAGCTCATGGTTGCTGAAGCTGTGCATTGAACTTGCCAAACTGCCATTCAAAAGGGTGCTACAGTATGAGGGGAAAGCCGGAGGAGGGGCATGAGGAGTGGGAGGAGGGTGAGACGCTGGTGAATAGACGACAACGGCGCAGAGGAGAATGGCAAGTGTTTCCATCTGCCCCGCTCCATTTTCTGCTGCAAATGCTAAAGATGTTGTCGCAGCGGACACACGCGCAATTTCAGCATCTGACCCCAACGGATTGTGCGGACCTCTTCAAATTGAATGTCTTGTATGCTTGAAGCAAAGACACGAGATTCCTTGAACGACAAAACCAGCTGCACTTTGCTGAGGAGAAGTACGTAGACATTGAAGTACTGCCAGCCAGGCTTGTACTTGGAAATGATCCAAGAAAAGAAGGAGGAGAAGGACGTGTCCCTCAAGCGGTTGCAGACAGGCGTAGACAAGATTGACGAGGCCCCAAGCTCTGGCTCGGTCTGGCGTTGGACATGCAGCTGTCACACCTTCGTCCTGGAGTCAGCATCACAGTGTAGGACTTTTGAGAGCGGGTAAGGTGGGTGTAAAGGGGGTGCAAGGGTGTGGGGGAGGTGTAAGGGCTGTGAGGGGGGTGCAGGGGTGGTGCGAAGGGGCTGTAACGAGGGGAGCGGGTGGTGCAACGGGGGGTCGTGTAAGTTAGGTAAATTGAGCGTTTTGAGCAATCAAGACAGCTGTGCTAGGGGGGGTGTAGGGGCGGTGCGAAGGGGCTGTAACGAGGGGAGCGGGGTGGTGCAAGGGGGGGGTGGTGTAAGTTAGGTAAATTGAGCGTTTTGAGCAATCAAGACAGGTGCTAGGGGGTTGTGTAAGGGTAGAAGGGTGTAAAAGGGGGTGTAAGGGAGGTGCAAGGGCGGTTTTAAGGGGGTTTCGGAAGCTGCAAACATACTCGTCCACGACATCCTGCTAACTTTGGGAGAGCCTGGACAGGCGAATGAGTTTGTGAACAGTTTGCAAGAAGAGCTCACGAAGCTGGCACCAGTGATTTCACAGAAGATCAAGGAGGCACCGAGCTCTCTGAGCTTCCCTGGAAGCAAGATTCAGCAAGACATTGGCCATTGGTTGAGGCTGATGAGCTCGTGCCGGTTGTCACCGAGGAGCAGAAGAAGGCCTGATGTTGATGATGTTGGCTTTGTGGTTTCTTGTGGTTCCTGCTGCCGCGCGTCAAAGTGTGTGACAGGGAGTGCAATGCATTCTGCGTCTCGGGTGGGTTCCTGTCATCTCCAGGCTGAAGTGATAAAGGAGAAGGTCTCCAGTGAGGAGGCCGGGGCAGCGACAGATTTTAAAGATGTGTCAAAGACTTTGCAGCTGCCCAGGTGGTTGTGAGGAAGCAGGCCGATGAGGTGAAGGCCATTGCGGACGATGCGCAAAGGGATTTGGACATTGCCATGCCGGCCCTTGAAAGCGTCTTGGCTGCACTAAGAAAACTGGGAAAATGTCTTCTCTCGGCCAGTTTGCAGCATCTGCGGAAGTGAGGGCTGAGGCTGAGGGCTAAAGAGATCAATCCGGGGAACCGTTGGTAGCACTGGGCGTGGCGATTGTGCAGCGTGTGGTGCTGGACTCCCTGTGGCCTGTAGTGCAGGTGCGCTCAAATCCCTGGATGCCTTGGACAAGAAAGACATCCAGGACACTGGGCCCTTCGAAAGCCTTGAGCGCACTGGCTCCCCGATAGTGCAAGTGCCAGGGTGCAAAGATCTTGGAGCATACAGGAAATCAAGTCCTTCGCCAAGCCTCCGCCGCTGGTGATGCTGACAATGGAGGCCAGGACTCTTGCAAATCCGCATGTTGGGATCTCTACGACGACCCATACGACGTTAGCATGTCTTGGCATGACTCAGTGTGACTGGCCCAGTAGTGAAACAGCACACGACGACCTCCGCGGTGACTGAGGCGGTTAACGTCCTTCTGCAAGAGAAGCCCGATTGGGACACAGCCAAGAAGGTCTTGAACCGACCGACATTCCTCCAGGACTTGAAGGCCTATGACAAGGACAGCATCCAAACGACCTGAGCCTTAACATGCTACTTAACCGTGAACCCTTGATGTTTTGGCATGGCAGGACAACATCCCAGACAAAGTCTTGAAGCAGCTGACGAAGCAGCTCGGTCATGACTTTTTGCTTCTTGCACAAGGAAGAGGTTTAGGGTTTAGGGTTCAGGGTTCAGGGTTTAGAGAGACTATGGCAAGGTACGTGACAAAGCCGGAGTACACTGTGGAAGCTGTTGGCAACCAAAGCAAGGCCAACCCGTTCCGCAGTCATGCTGACCTCATATTTTTGCAGGGTGTAGCAAGCAGGTTTGAGAGAAAGAGATTTACTTTCTGAACGCCTTATGAATGCCAGGCTGCCAAGAGTCTGTGCATGTGGACTTACGCCATGGATACCTACTCCAAGGCCTCCCCAGAGCCAGATCTTGGCCGTTGGGGGTTGACAGTCACAGTTGCCTGTAGGGTTTCTGATAGTGGGCTGCCCTTGTTGCGACGGCACATGCTTTTCGTTTTAAGTTAATGAGTTCAAGGAGGTATGTGGGGCGGGTGAAGGAGTCTGGCTTTGTACTCGTTTTCGAAGGAGGCTTGTCCAGGGCGCACAAGTCCTACTTACCCGTAGGGAGCTGGTGTGGGCCCGGCATCCTGTTTGTGCGTTTAGGGAGAGGTCCCCGTTGTGCAAGCCGTTTCCAGGTGGCCAAGGAGGTGGAGCCGAAGAAGCAAAAGGCGACTTGGATACTGCCAAGAAGTGTTGCTCACTCATTGCTACCACTCTTGGTAGCAATGATTGAAGACCTGAACCAACTCGTGTTTTGTCTGAGCTCCGGTCGTTTCTTTCATGCGTGCCTGTCGCATCTGTCGCGTCTGTCGAGGTGGCTGAGTTGAACGAGCAGTTGGCCAAAGCCAACGCAGAGCTCAAGGCCAAACTACCTTTGAAGCCCCGCTACCCTGGTAGTTGCACTGCTGTTCTAGACCCTATCTGTGGGATTGCGGGTGGTCACAGGTTTCCGAGACTTGCTTGATAAGAGCCCGTGACATACCCCATCCTGCCAAACTGCTTACGCACGTGCCTTGAAGCTTCCACGCCATCATTATTCCAAACCTGCATGATGTCTGTGAGAAGACCCGAAGCAACCTTGCCTCATCAAACTTGACAATGCTACTTCTTGACAGTTCTTGAGATCGTGCTGGTGTGAGGCCAAACAAGACAACCTTCACGAGGTGGAGTCGCAGGTGGCTGCTTTGCAGAAGTCACTTGGTACATCTTGTCACTGTTTAAGCCACATGTTGTTGCTGCATTGTTGCTCTTGGAAGGGAACTCTTTCGAAGTAGTTCGCGCATTCTGAGGAAGTTGAACGACACCGTGTCTGAGAAGGACTGTGGCAGCAGTTAAACACATCCCTTTGTTGCGTCACTCGTCTCGCCGGTGTCACCATCGTGGCGCCCAAGCCGATGATCAGTGCGCAGATGAAGTGCAAGCTTGGGACAACAAGTAGCGCAACCATGAATGACCTGCTGGGGGCTGGGAATTCCATTGCTATCGCAGCTGCATTGGGCGAGCCAATCTCGAAGTGTTCACAGCTGCGACAGCGGGGACCGCATGTTGGCGAGGTTCGGCCGGCTCATCCTTGTGCATCCATTGTCAGTTTAACTGTTTTCAGAAGCACGACTGGTGTGAACATGAGCGAGCCGATGCGTGTGGCATGGTGTTTCTTCAGCTAGCACCATCTGCTAGTTGCTCATGTTCAGCACCGACACGGGGGCTATCGCAGACGGCGCTCCAACACCAGCAAAAAACTAAACACATTAAGCACTTCATGTCAATGTGAGTACCAGTGTCAAAAACTAGGGAATGTCATCTGTGCAAGGACAGGCTGGTGGCAGAGGCGCAACTCACCAAGGACTTCTGATGGAGCATGGTTCGACGTCTGTAAGCAATGTGATTGGTTTGGAAGGAGACGTATAAGTTTGGAGGATCGATTGGCACGGGCCGATATCTTGACGGTGGGCTTGAAGGACGAGGGTATCCGATGGAGCTGACCTGAGTTGACTTAAATGAGAACTGGGGGGCTGTCAGAGGTTTCAACAGCTTCAGCAGGCCTTCAGACCTTCAGGTCTCAGCTTCGTTAAGCATTTTCGAAGCTGAGCATCCTCGCCCAAAGCTGGAGCACAGCCTCCAATGCAAAGCCCTTGTCTCGTGCCTCTGCTGTAGCCCAAGGCGTGAGACGGTGGCAAGCATCCGCCAAGACATCGTCAACCTCACCGGTGACGCCCCGTCCACAGAAAGGGCACTTCCACGGAGAGCCACATCGCCTGGCCTTGGATACGGATGATAGCGGCTAGAACGGAACGGATGAGCATCATCTTGTGATTTCTCGTGCGGGCTTCCGAGGTCTTCCTGTCCTCTGCGTCCATCTCTTACTACGGGTGACTCCTGGCACGTCCCCATCCTTGGAGCACATTGAGGGTTGCCCTTCCCTGTGACGTTTGCCGAATGAACAGCAGTGGCTTCAATGTGGCACGTACTCGTGCAGTATGCACAGACACACCTGTATCACTGCTGCCACTGTGTGCTTGAGTGCGTAGACGTCGGCCCAAGCTTTACGCCACCGTGAAGCTGTCGCGTGGCCACTCCTGGCCAGGCCTTTCACCGGTACATACCGCAACGATATTGTCGATGCCTGGCTGACGGAGCGAAGGGCAAGGGGGTTCAGGGAGCATCTGAAGGGCCAGTGAGTATCATGATCTGGCGAGAAGGCGAGAAGCCCCTTTTCCGACCTTGCTTGGCTCCAGGAGCTGAAGCGGCTTCAGATCCCCAGTGGCGATACTTTCGACCTGCGCGAGGTCTCAATGCTTGCCTGTGCTCTGCAGTCACGTTGTATTCTGGGGTCCCATGTAGTCGCACGCCAGAGAAGATGCTGTAGCTTCACGAAAGAGTTCTCCACTCCCGGTCAAACCTCTCGCATCCATTCGCAACCTCTAGCCTCAGTGCTCCGACTCCCTGCAGGTCATGGGGAACCCGGTGGAGATCCGCGAGTGGAATCTTCAGGGCTTGCCAACGGACGTCCGCAGCCCAAGTCCTGTGCATGTGCGGGCCGGAAGTTCATTCTGCTGGTGGAGCCGCAGTTTTATCAACACATACATGTGCACATGCATGTATATATATATATATATGTGCAATCATGCAATCACAGATAACGTTTGATAATAGTATGTAGATCTATGAAACAAATAGCTCGGCCTTTATCCAGCAGTGGGCCCAGGCCGTCTCCATCAACAACGGTGTCATGGTCGTTCGCGGCAAGCGCTGGCCTCTCATGATCGACCCACAGTCACAGGCACTCCGTGACACGCACATACATGCATGCATACGTGCGTACATGTATACATGTATACATATGTATATATATATATATGCACACAATATTTCGGTAACACAGACAATATCCATAGCACATTTAGGGTTCCAGGAAGGGGGTCCCAAAGGGGGGGTTTCAAGGGGTCCCAGGAAGTCGCGGGGTGGGGTCACAGGGGGAGGTGCCAGGAAGGGTTTGGGGCAGGTTCAGGCGGTGAGGTCTGCTTGTTCAAAAGCCGAGGCGAAATAACTGGAGATGCAGTAGAGTACAATGTCGCATCGCATGACCAGAGGTTTTCCGATGAGTGAACCTAGTGGAGAATTCTCAAGCTATCCAGCCATCGAGCATCCAGTGCGAGCTGTGCTGGTCCTGCCCGCACCTTCTTGTCTCTCCCTGACCCTTTCTCTGCAAGACGCCGCCAGGGCAACAAGTGGATCAAGAAGAAGGAGGGCAAGGACCGGCACGATCCGTCACGTTTCAGGGAAGCTTTATAGGTATGTACATATATAGCAATGCAATTAAGCTCATCAGCAATACATATGAGTATGTAAGTATAAGTATATGCATATATATATATATGTATGTATGTATGTATGTATGTATGTATGTATGTATGTATGTATGTATGTATGTATGTATGTATGTATGTATGTATGTATGTATGTATGTAATATATATATATATATATATATATATATATATATTTGTATGTATATATATATATATATATATATATATATGTATATTTGTTTGTTTATTCATGTATTGATTTACTTATTCATGTGTGTACACAGCTGTCTTGATACTCTCGCTGGATAGGATAGGAAGAACAAGAATGCATCCACACACACACAGATCCACGCACGCAAGCCATGTACGTTAATTTGTGTGTGTGTGTGTGTGTGTGTGTGTGTGTGTTCATAAATAAGAAAATTATATATAGATATCTAGATAGAAATAGATATATGTGGATCTGCTAAGACAAACGCCCCAGGAGTTGAAGACCATCAAGATGACCAACCCCAAGATGCTGCTGATCCTTGAAGGACCGGACGGGAGACTGGGACCTCTGGGCTTATTTCGACCTTTCCCTGCCCCGCCGCTACGTGGTATCAGCCCCCTGCCCCCCCCGCCCCCCCTTACCCCCCCCTGCCCCCCTACCCCCCGCCCCCCCTCCCCTCGACTGTGGCGTGGTTGCGGGTTGGGAGTTTGGGTTTTGGGCTTGAAGGTTGTGGGGGTTTAGGGCTCTAGGGTTTTAGAATGGGCTGTTGACGGGGCGCAGAGCTTGGGGTTGGAGGGGATAAGGTTTAGGGCTTGGGGTTTTAGGGTTAAGGGTTTTAGGGTTTAGGGCTTTAGGGGTTTAAGGCCTCTCGGTTTATGGATGCTGTAGGGGGGGTGGGGGAACGCACAGCGCACAACAAAACAATCAGAAGCAACTAGCTAAATAACAGAAACCAATACGTAAAACAAAATAAATACACATAAGTGTATATATATATAAATTACATAATATAATATAAATATGAATATAAATATAAATATAGATATAAATATAAATATAAATACAAATGTAAACATAAATATAGATATAAATATACATGTAAAAAATGAATAAATTAATGAATAAATAAATAATATATATATATATATATAACGCATACAACGTTTTAGTTCTATAGCATACATATATGTATGTATTCATGTGGCCCTGTGTACACCTGGACCATGCCTGAGCCCCGTTTCAGGTCCTGTAGAGGCTGTGGAGAGGCCCTTTCCAAGCCTTTCCTTTGCGCAGGTTGCATCCGGACTGGTGCTCCGATGCTTATGGAGGTCCCCAGCGCGAAAGCAGAGTCACAGAGTCATGATCTCCATGAGGGCCCCTAGATGTTCGGTGCGACGCAGGACATCGAAGAAACTCTGGATCCGGCCTTGGAGCCCGTTCTGCTGAAGGCCGTTCCCGCATTGTAGTGACGTAGTTGAAGTCTGATGCTGCACAGCACTGGCGGATTGCGTGCACTTCTTCAGGCTGTGTACGAGGACAACAACCGCCTGCAGATCAAGCTCGGTGACAGTGAGGTTTGGAGAGCGTTGGGCTAGACCTTAGCAAGCATTCTTGGGCATGCTGCGTTGATGCATCAGGTAAGTTGCTGTTGCAGTTCCTGGGCTTGGCGGTGTGAATCTGAAATCGGAAGCCCTGCAGGTAGACTATGACAAGAACTTCCTCTTCTACATGACCACCAAGATGCCGAATCCCCACTACTTCCCGGAGGTGTGCATCAAGGTCCGCACCGGAGCAGGGCCAGCCATGTCTCTGCTGATCGCAGCCGAGACGCATACACTTTGAATTCTGCAGAGCCCAGGTGACCGTGATCAACTTCACGGTGACCTTCGATGGCCTGGAGGAGCAGCTCCTCAACGAGGCAAAGCAGCTAAGCTGCTTCTTTGGAAGACTTTGCTTGTGTGTCCTGCATTGTTGCAGCTTTCCGGTCCTTGTCTTGCAGGTTGTTTCCAAGGAGATCCCTGAAACGCTCCAGAGAAGGGCGTGAGACTTAGATCGCGGCCCTGCGTGCAGCAGTACAGGGCAGTACGCGCCCGCAGCTTTCCTGACCTGCCTCGTGAGGTGGAGCTGATGTTGCAGCTCGCCGATGACAAGAAGGTGCTCAAGCAGCTCGAGGACTTCGGCCATGCAGAATATACTGCAGGGGTCGCGGGGATGTCTCGTTCATGTCTGGAGTTTTTTTTTTTTCTGTGAACTGCTCATCTGCAGGCTCTTACTACACATCCTTGTGTAGGCATGCCGGTCCTTTTCCGACTCTGCACCTTGGCTCTTCTGATCTGGCTCATACTTTCACCTCTGATCGTCTTGAGGACAAGATCCTCAAGTTGCTCTCCGAGTCCAGTGGTCCGGAGCATAGCGCTGTCAAGGTCGAGTTTTAAGCCTCCTCCGACACGCCTTGTATCTTGCACAGTGCCTTAGGCAACATCCTGGATGATCAGGCCTGATGTTGGCCCACCATGGTATACGTTGTGGCTTAGGAGCCGCGTTCGCCGAGAGACCCTTGTGGTTTCAAGCTACAGTAGCTAGAGTCATCTTGCGTTATTCCGTGGCCACAGTATCGGGACTTTTCTGCATCTCTGCCTCCGGATCTCTTTTTATTGTGCTATGCTTTGCGCAGGTGCTGATCAGCACCTTGGGTGAGTCCAAAGAGACGTCTACAGCGGTCAACGAGCGAGTCAAGGCGGCCGAGGAAGCTGCCGTGGAGCCGGTGGCTCAGAAAGATGTCTGGGCGCGGGCGAGGGGAGAGGCATGGTAGGTACGGCTGGAAAATCCAACGGCCCTAGAAATGAGGGACACGGATAGGGAAGAAGACGGATGGAGCTCGCTGTGGGAAGCTGCCCGAAGCAGCTTTGAGATTCAGATTGGCGCAGGTACTTGCATGCAAGTGTAGGAACGGCGTTTGCTTCCTGAACCTTCAATACGCAATGCGACCACGATGGCAGGATTGATGCTGCGTGCAAGCAGTACACAGAGGCCCATCTTTTTCGGCACCCTGCAGAATCCCTGCAGGATGGTGACACAAGAGTTGTAGGAGTTGTAGGTTGTGGTAGACCATTTTAAAATGTTCTTCTCAGAGCAGGAGGGTTAGTGCCAAGCACGTGGCAGGTTGCGACACGGGGAAGCATTCTGTACTTTGTCATTGCCGATCTTGCCAACATCAACCCAATGCCACTCCTCTGAGAACTGCGATGGATCTCCTAAAGCCCTAAGCCCGAAAACCCTAAACACTAAAGCCCTAAAACCCCATACCCTAATCCCTTGACTCAGAAGCTGACCGGCCGAGGGATCAGTGTCTGTTACCCTAAACCCTAAACCCTAAACCCTAAACCCTAAACCCTAAACCCTAAACCCTAAACCTTAAACCCTAAACCCTAAACCAAAAACCCTAAACCCTAAACCCTAAACCCTAAACCCTAAACCCTAAACCCTAAACCCCAAACCCTAAACCCTGAACCCGAAACCCTAAACTAAACCCTAAACCCTAAACCCGAAACCCTAAGCTCTAAGCCCTAAGCCCTAAGCCCTAAGCCCTAAGCCCTAAGCCCTAAGCCCTAAGCCCTAAACCCTAAACCCTAAACCCCAAACCTTAAACCCTAAACCCTGGCCAGCCGAGGTATCAGTTCAGCCTCTTCTACTTTGTGCGCCTCTTCAAGTCCTGCATGGACAAGGCGGCCAGGAGTCCCTGCCTCAACGTTCCAGGAGTCTTGAGGCCGACAGGACCACCAGATGAGAGGCTCTTACATATATACATATATATATATATATATATATGAGCCCGCCGCCTTTAGGGTCTATTTAGCTTTGGGTTTTTCTTATTGCTTTAAAAGAGCGAATATAAACATCGTAATACAAAAATACATATTTACACCTACATATGGCACGCAAATCTCATGCCCAGCGGTTCTAGGCCTAGCCGCACGCCATTACGAACTGCGAATTTCTGGTTATTCTTATTTTCATTTGTTTCTCTTTGCTGTCTGTGTATGCGTGTTCTTTTTTCAGCCTGCGTGAAAAAGTCGCTGTTTGGCTGCGGCAGAAGGGAAAGAGAAGTGAGAGAGGAGAGACAACAAGGAGGCCATTTTAATTTTCTGGAAGGGTATTGAAAAGAAAAGAAAAGACAAGAAACAAGGAGACGGATGGCGCTCTTCTTTATCTATCATCTCTCCCTTCCTTGCCTCTCCCGTTTCCCTCTATAATTCAAAAGACAAGACTTTTTTTGGTCTTCGCAGATCTCTCTCCTCTTCAGGAAGCCCCCTTGCCCGTATTTTGCTTGCTTTCTGAAACGACAAGGAAAACAACACATAGAAAGAGAGGAAAGGGAATGAAACAATAGGCAGTGGAGCTCTTCAGTGTCTTTCCCTATCTCTTTTCTTCTTTTTCTTTTTCATTCAATAAGGAAAAGAAGCTTCCTTTTGTGTGTTTTTGAAATTCAAAGAGAACAGGAGACGGGAAGGGAGAGAGAAAGGAGAGAGGAGAGATCAAAAGGAATGCAATTTTAATGGGAAGAGCAATGAAAAGAATGGAAGAGAAATGAAGACAGGAGAGGGAGGTGCAAAATCAGGCTAAGAGAAGATGGTGCTCGTTTTCATCTTTCTTCTCTTGTTCTTTTCCCTGTCAAATAGAAAACAAAAGGAAGAACAATGAACATGCAAAGGAACCCGTTTTCTTTTTCCATTTGGGAACAAGGAAAGAACAGAGGCGATAGGGCGAGAGGAGGGATTTGCTGAAGCATGGGGAGGGTCTACGGACAAGGAGCCAACCCCGCTCAGTTTCCCCATCCATTGAAACAGGAAAAGAAAGGAACAGGGCCTCCATTCCCCTCTTGTTCTTCCTTTCTTGTGTTTTTGTCATATCAAGGGGAACAGGAGAAGAGAAGGGAGAGAGAAGAAGAGAGGAGAGACAACAAGGATTGCATTTGTACTGGGAAGAGCAAAGAAAAGAATAGAAGAGAGATGAATAAAGGAGAGGGAGAGACAAAATAAGGCGCAGAGAAGATGGCACTCTTCTTTATCTATCCTCTCCCCCTTATCTCTCCCTGCCCTCTTTCTTTTCGAAATAAGAAAACAAAAAGGAAGAACTATGAGAAGGAGAAGGGGACGGAAAGGAACGGAAAGGATAGGCCGATAGGAGGGGTATGATGAAGTATGGCAAGGTCCACGCGCCAGGAGTCACCCTCTGCTTACCCTTCCACTGCCTTATCATACAAGTTCCTTTCTTGCGCTGTATCAGTTGAAAGGAAACAGAAGGAGAAAAGGGAAAGGGAAGTGAGAGAGGAGAGATGACTTGGACGGCATTTTTCTGGAAGCGCAACTGTACCGGAATGTGGCCACAACAAGCAGGCCAGGGAGGCTCAGGCGGGGCAACTGTAGCGGAATGTGGCCACAACAAGCAGGCCAGGGAGGCTCAGGCGGGGCAAGTCTCTCCCTAATTAGAAAAAAACCAATCTTGCTCTTCGCAGATAGATAAGTGCCCTTCTTCCACTTCAGGAAATCGCCTTTCCCAAATTTTGCTTTTTGAAGCGAATAAGAAAAACAACAGATAAGAAGAGAGGACAGGGAATGACTAGGTAAAGAGAGGGGCTCTTCAATTGTGCGTTACTTTTCCTTCTTGGGGGATGTCCTTTTTTTCTCCCTTGAAGATGCAGAAAACTATCAAAAGGAACACCCGTTCCATCGCCCATTTACTCTTCAATCCCCTTCCTTATCTCCTATGCTTTTTTCTTTAGTCATTGCAACAGGAGAAGACAGGAAAAGGGCCTCCATTCCCCTCTTGTTCTTCCTTTCTTGTGTTTTTGTCATATAAAGGGGAACAATGAGAGAGGAGCGATGAAAGGAACACACTTTTAATGGGAAGAGCCAAGAAAAGAATGGAAGAGAGATGAATAAAGGAGAGGGAGAGACAAAACAAGTTGCAAAGAAGATGGCGCTCTTCTTAATCCATCCCCTCTCCCTTATCTCTCCCTTCCCTTTTTCTTTTCGAAATCCGAAAAACTAAGCAGGAAGAATTATGAAAAGGAGAAGGGTAAGGAAAAGAGCAGAAGAGATAGGCCGAAAAGAGTGATATGATGAAGTATGGCAAGGTCCACACGCAAGGAGTCACCCTCTGCTTACCCTCCCACTGCCCTTATCATACAAGTTCCTTTCTTGTGGTTTATCAGCTAAACGGAAACAGAAGGAGAGAAAGGAAAGAGAAGTGAGAGAGGAGAGACAACAAGGAGGTCATTTAAATTTTCTGGAAGGGTATTGAAAAGAAGAGAAAAGACAAGAAACAAGGAGACGGATGGCACTGATCTTTATCTATCATCTCTCCCTTGCTTGTCTTTCCCTTTTCCCTCTATAATGAAAAAAAGGCGCCCTCTCTCGTCTTCAGGAACCCGTTCACTTTTTCCGTTTGGGAACAAGGAAAAGAACAGAGGCGATAGGGCGAGAGGAAGAATTTGCTGAAGCATGGGGAGGGTCTACGGGCAAGGAGCCAACCCCGCTCACTTGCCCCATCCATTGTGAAAAGAACAGGGCCTCCATTCCCCTCTTGTTCTTCCTTTCTTGCGTTTTTGTCATTTCAGGGGGAACAGGAGAAGAGAAGGGAAAGAGAAGGAGCGAGGAGAGATAAAAAGAACACAATTTTAATGGGAAGAGCCAAGAAAAGAATAGAAGAGAGATGAATAAAGGAGAGGGAGAGACAAAACAAGGCGCAAAGAAGATGGCACTCTTCTTTATCTATCCTCTCTCCCTTATCTCTGCAAGGAATAGAACAGACAGGAAGCAAGGAGACGGAGTGACAAAACTTGTCGCAAAGCTTTATATATCTCCCTTGTCTCTCCCTAATTAGAAAAAACCAATCTTGCTATTCACAGATAGATAGGCGCCCTTCTTCCTCTTCAGGAAATCGCCTTTCCTTTATTTGGCTTTTTGAAGCGAATAAGAAAAACAACAGATAAGAAGAGAGGACAGGGAATGACTAGGTAAAGAGAGGAGCTCTTCAATTTTCCTCCCTATCTCTTATGTTACTTTTCCTTCTGGGGGGATGTCCTTTTTTCTCCCTTGAAGATGCAGAAAACTATCAAAAAGAACACCCGTTCCATCGCCCATTTACTCTTCAATTCCCTTCCTTATCTCTTATGCTCTTTTCCTTATTCATTGCAACAGGAGAAGACAGGAAAAGGGCCTCCATTCCCCTCTTGTTCTTCCTTTCTTGTGTTTTTGTCATATAAAGGGGAACAGGAGAAGAGAAGGGGAAGAGAAGGAGAGAGGAGAGATAAAAAGAACACAATTTTAATGGGAAGAGCCAAGAAAAGAATAGAAGAGAGATGAATAAAGGAGAGGGAGAGACAAAACAAGGCGCAAAGAAGATGGCACTCTTCTTTATCTATCCTCTCTCCCTTATCTCTGCAAGGAATAGAACAGACAGGAAGCAAGGAGACGGAGTGACAAAACTTGTCGCAAAGCTTTATATATCTCCCTTGTCTCTCCCTAAATAGAAAAAACCAATCTTGCTATTCACAGATAGGTAGGTGCCCTTCTTCCTCTTCAGGAAATCGCCTTTCCCTTATTTGGCTTTTTGAAGCGAATAAGAAAAACAACAGATAAGAAGAGAGGACAGGGAATGACTAGGTAAAGAGAGTAGCTATCTCTTATGTTACTTTTCCTCCTTGGGGGATGTCCTTTTTTCTCCCTTGAAGATGCAGAAAACTATCAAAAAGAACACCCGTTCCATCGCCCATTTACTCTTCAATTCCCTTCCTTATCTCCTATGCTCTTTTCCTTATTCATTGCAACAGGAGAAGACAGGAAAAGGGCCTCCATTCCCCTCTTGTTCTTCCTTTCTTGTGTTTTTGTCATATAAAGGGGAACAGGAGAAGAGAAGGGGAAGAGAAGGAGAGAGGAGCGATGAAAGGAACACAATTTTAAGGGGAAGAGCCAAGAAAAGAATGGAAGAGAGATGAATAAAGGAGAGGGAGAGACAAAACAAGTTGCAAAGAAGATGGCGCTCTTCTTAATCCATCCCCTCTCCCTTATCTCTCCCTTCCCTTTTTCTTTTCGAAATAAGAAAAACTAAGCAGGAAGAATTATGAAAAGGAGAAGGCTTTCTTGTGGTTTACAGCTAAACGGAAGCAGAAGGAGAGAAGGGAAAGAGAAGTGAGAGAGGAGAGACAACAAGGAGGTCATTTTAATTTTCTGGAAGGGTATTGAAAAGAAGAGAAAAGACAAGAAACAAGGAGACGGATGGCACTCTTCTTTATCTATCATCTCTCCCTTGCTTGTCTTGCCCTTTTGCCTCTATAATGAAAAAAAGGCGCCCTCTCTCGTCTTCAGGAACCCGTTCACTTTTTCCGTTTGGGAACAAGGAAAAGAACAGAGGCGATAGGGCGAGAGGAAGAATTTGCTGAAGCATGGGGAGGGTCTACGGGCAAGGAGCCAACCCCGCTCACTTGCCCCATCCATTGTGAAAAGAACAGGGCCTCCATTCCCCTCTTGTTCTTCCTTTCTTGCGTTTTTGTCATTTAAGGGGGAACAGGAGAAGAGAAGGGAAAGAGAAGGAGCGAGGAGAGATAAAAAGAACACAATTTTAATGGGAAGAGCCAAGAAAAGAATAGAAGAGAGATGAATAAAGGAGAGGGAGAGACAAAACAAGGCGCAAAGAAGATGGCACTCTTCTTTATCTATCCTCTCTCCCTTATCTCTGCAAGGAATAGAACAGACAGGAAGCAAGGAGACGGAGTGACAAAACTTGTCGCAAAGCTTTATATATCTCCCTTGTCTCTCCCTAATTAGAAAAAACCAATCTTGCTATTCACAGATAGATAGGTGCCCTTCTTCCTCTTCAGGGAATCGCCTTTCCCTTATTTTGCTTTTTGAAGCGAATAAGAAAAACAACAGATAAGAAGAGAGGACAGGGAATGACTAGGTAAAGAGA